GTTGGAAACAACCACTGAAAACTGCATCTATTCTATAGGGTATTTGAATTTATTTCCTTCATCAATATTGTAAGTAATTAAGTTATTGAAATTTTGGCTCAAATCTCATGCCAAAACAGCTTATATAACTCTAGAAAATTTCGAAATACTGAACCTTGTCCATGGTTGTTATTAGAATTCTTTCTACTCTAAGTGCCTACAAAATAGGATAATTTTCTAAGTTAATTGTAAGCTGAATGTGAGCTTAAAATATTATTAGAAATGGATTAGCAATACAAAGTGAATTTAAATTCTCATGAGATAGAATCATAGAAATATAAGATTCTAACTAGCATTTTATTACGTATATAGATTTTGCTGAAACACAACATCAAGCTTTGAAAGGAATAAGTGTGAACGTATCAGGTAAGGGGTGAGCTATATAGTAAGGATTACATCATAAACTTGTTTGACCTTATTTGTTGAATTTGTCTAAATTTGTTATGATTGATAATTGTGATTTCATTATATGTTTGGTTGTGAAAGTGATAATGAATTGCTTACATGTATGATGGTGTAAAATACATGCTTGGTACTCTATTATGATATGTATTATCTTTGAGTGAGCATTTATATGCATGGTGGTTTTTCATGAGAAAATTCATTGAAAATTAAATTGAAAGAATTGAATGATGGGTTGTGAACCCTTTTTGAACTGTATTGGAAGTTTTCTGCTTGTAACAGGTGATTTGAAATTTTTTGGAGGTCCGTATTACAGGGGAAACTCTGTCAAAATTTTTGGAAAAATGTGAATTTCTAAGAAAAACCACTTAGGGACTCATACATTACTCATCTGAAAATGGTGATTTGTGAAATCTGGGGAATCAGAGATTATGGACTCTGAGAATACGATAGGGAGGCCCTGAGGGAGGACTTGAGGATAGGAAGGGTAGTGGTTGGAGGCCCCAAAAGACCCAGACTCGCTACCTGTTGTCGGGGATCCCACTGTACAAACTCTCATGTACCTGACTGTGCTCTTACCGTATATCAATGGTCAGTGAGCTACTGGGTTTATATTTGAGCATGTGTCTCAACAATCCCGTGGGTGGATTTTCCATGCCTAGTAGTGTCAACTCCTGGCTACCCCAATACTGATTTGAGAAATGATTCGGGCCCGCATGCATAAACATTTTAGAAAACATATTAGGATCATGCATCATTAACATCAATCATTTGGAATTTGATTGGCTTGTGAATGTTTATGATGTTGATTTTAAAATGATGTATGAACTGTTGCTCACCCTCTTGTCTTCCTGTTTTCTTTATTTCCTTTGTGCTTGCGGTACTCGTTGGACCTAATCGGTCATTGTTTGAAGAGAGGGGAGATGGCACAGATTCCACACCCGATTAATATGACACTCATACTCATTAGCTGGGAGCCACAATGATGACAACATGTATTGGGATAAACATATCTAAACTTTTATAGGCAGTCTTTTGTAGTACATAGACCTACATGGTACTGGGTAGTAGTTACTCTTTTATGTAGTTAGTTGCTCTGTAGGAAGTATCCCCAATGTTGCCCTTAATATTTTGAAGGACTGTACTAGTATTTTATCTATATGTAATTATGAATGTTTACCCTTAGTACTTTTTAAAATGATGAAATGCAGGAATGAGTAATGAAAATTTATGTATATTAATATTATGTACAAGGGAAAGATTATTATCGGTTAAAAAAAAATTCTGCTAAAAATTATTAATTCTTATGATTGAGGGTTTATAAGGTAGGGTGTTACAGAAAGAAAGATAAAGAGATAGATTGAGAAAAAGAGATTGGAGAAAGAAAAGATTAAAGAATAGATTCTCATGGATCAATGTTAGTCTTCTTACTATTATTCATGTATTGATGTATGTTATATTGTGAAAATCAATAATCTAAAGATCCTGTAGAGTAGTTTTCTATAATGAATTAAGAACGTAGGAAAACTACATAATATTTTACACTAACAACATATTCGTCTAGGTGAAGTTTATAATTGTATGGTCATATATAGATTAACTGCACAAAATATTTGAAATTTAAATTTGAATAATGGAAATGACTTAATATAGGTGATGTAAGATTGAGTTTTAGGAAATAACTTTCTGCGTGTATATAGAGCATGCATTCATATCCCATGTATATCATATTTTCTTCATTGTCCTTATTACTTCTTATTTCACTTATATTCATTTAAAATTATGTTTTGAGTTATGTAATCACATCTTTTTAGATTTGGATTCTAGGTATTAGGTAAGGGTTTTTTGTTTCACTATTTTTTTTTATGTATTTGGATACCTTTTTGTTATATCTTACGTTCTGTTTTTAAAAAATAAAAATACATATTTATATTATAATATTTATATATTATATTTTGTTCAATAAATACATATTTATATTATACTAATTTGTAATTTAGATTCCTTATACATTTGGTTGTTTCCCTCTCAAATAAATATGTTTTTCACCTCTTCCATAGTACTACCATCAACATATGATCAAACTCCTTTCATGTTTGTTATGCTCAATATGTTCCATATGCAATATGCAAATAAAAAAGATGAACTAATGATAATAATATTAATAGAGAAATGATTGTTCTACCCCTTTTCAACACATGGTTGTAGGTGTGCTACACCAAGATCAATTACGCAAACCCGAGTGAGAAATTAGAAGATCACCTTGTGGGACAAGATCTTACAGTTAAATATTTTGTAATTTTTTTCTTTAACAATATTTGTAATTTTATTATTTTGTAAATAGTATATTGCTTGATGAAAACTTTAATATTTACATAAATTTAACTGAGTAATGACCTATGGTACATTCATCAATCACCGATAGTCTAATACAACATGTCTTTAATCTTGTGCGTATAATTTTGCATAACTCATCCAAACCCTTCTTTTCCATGTAACACTTATGAATGATATTTAACATAAGTCAAGAATCTAACCACCACCATAGTCTAATACATTGTGTCTCAAATATTATGTTTTGAATTTGGTCCATCATATTAGAAATTGAAGTTCCCATCAAAATCATCTTCACCCATCTTGCTTTTACTATTAATTCCATTCATCGTCTATATTCTTACCATGGAGAAACTTATCATTACAAATATTAAAGATTTTGATAACTCTGTAGTTGTATTTGCAAATGATCAAATCACAACAAATAAGATGTATACTTTCAATGTTCTTCTCCTAAAATGTTTAGAATCCCATATAATTGCACATTCATTAGTTTGAAGGAATAAATATGCATTGCTTTGAAACTCTCAAGAAGTTGTACTACAGTCAATTGAAACTAACATGTGATAGATTAATTATATATGATGTTACTAAAATATTAACTGATATTGATGTATTGCATTTGCATATAATTACTTGAAAATCTCAATTTTCTTTCAATACTATAATTGAATTATACACTAAATTTAGTTAAACAAATTATAATGTTGTTAAACCCACCTATGCCTACCTCTTCCTCACATCATCACAAGAACAATATTTTAACTAAAACTATAGTTTAGTATGATGATCTTATCCAACGTGCCACCATCATTAAAAATCTTGATGATTATGGTCTTATTGTAGATATTGTAACCCTAAAACAATGGTTATTCAACATATATAGTCTTTCATTCAACTATTTGAAAATGTCACTGAGCTACATCAGATTGAAAATAGGTAACAAAAATCAATTATAAATGTCTTATTCAAATAAAAAAATAAAATATTGTTCACAATTCAGTATAAATCAAAACAGAAATTGATGTAACAAATATGATAAAACATTAGAAAAAAACACACAAGCATGAAAATCAGAAATTGTGAAAAAGATTGAAAACTCAATAATAGTATTTAATACTATGTTAATTATCCATTCTAAACTTTACCTACTTTTTTTTAGTGAAAAAACTTAATTTTTAAAAAAATTAATTATCTTAAACAGTTTTCTTCTAACTTTTTAAATAAAAACTAATTTTTATTATAATAGATTGTAACAATAATAAACTATATTTTATCAATTATTAAAATAATCTATTTTTCATAACATCCCAATGGGCTAAAGAGTAAAAGTTAAAGTCCTAAACTCTAAAAATAATACTATAAAAAAATGGTTTAGCTACTCTTTTTTTTATATATATATAATTTACAAATTTTACCTTTTAATCCGTATGTATAAAAACCATGTTTTTAATCTCTACATATATAGTTATTTTTAAATCCATACACAACATTTTTAACTTTATTTAATTTCAACCATCTAAAATCATGGAGACTAAAACAATACAAAAATAACATATGTAAATATAAAATAGACAAAAAATGTAAAATTTTGTCTTTAAAATTTAAATGAATAATTTAACCATAAAAATTAAAAGATATTAGATATAATCAGATAAATCAAATCAATTTGAATATTTAAATTAAAATCTAAAACCCAAAAACTTTTCCAATTCAATCTAAAACAAATAATCCAATACAATCTAAAATTTTCAGATTAACTTGGTAGAGATTCATGGATATATAATTTCTTTTAATGAAGTTACATCCTAACATAGTCGCCCATAAAAATGTGATGGATTAAGCTTATCAACCAATAATTTAAAATTTAGGACATAATTTAAAAACCTTTTGGGGGAAAACACTGTATATTTAAGACATCAATGGGACCCCTCTCTCTATGCAACACTGTCCCACTAGTGTCTCTGCTTTGCTCTTATTTTATGCACTGCACCTTTCATCTCTCTCTTCTACCTTTTTCCCTTCACTCTTTTCACACACTCAAAAACTCACTCCCTTTCCTTTCCTTTCCTTCCCTTTCTGCTAACACCAACATTACCTCAAAAAAAAGGAACATTTCCATTTTATTTTCTCATCGAACCTCTGAATTAGGGTTCTACCACCCTCTTCACCACCATTGTCCAAACCTCACATTCTCCGAACTCCACAGCTTTGGATCAACTCAAATGGGTAAGTACCTTCTGTTACTGACTCTCACTCTCCTCAATCTCGTACTATTGGCCACTCTTCAAGTCTCCGCTGCACCTTCTACTACGTCCCCTGCAAGTAAGTCCCATTTCACCTATGCTCATTCTCTTGCTTTCGTTTCATCCAAGTTCTCTTCTTTAGCTAATGAGTAACTTTCTGTCTTCGTGGTTTCAGAAATTGTTAGTGGGCTTCTCTCCAATGCCATGCCTGCCTTCACCAAATGGGTGTGGTCGCTCAAGGCCACCACCAAAACGGGTATGGATCTGGCTCTAGTTTGGGTTTTGGTTCTGGTTTTGTCGTTTTCTATGGGTTTGGTCTTCTGGGTGGTGATGGTTCTGAGGTTTGAACGTGGGCATTTTTTGCAGCGGTTTCGAGCAGGTCAATGATGAAGTTCGAGGGTGGATTCAGTGTGGAGACTGTGTTCGATGGGAGCAAGCTTGGGATCGAGCCTTATGCTGTGGAGGTGTTGCCCAATGGGGAGCTTCTCATTCTTGATTCGGCTAATAGTAACATTTATAGGATTTCCTCCTCGCTTTCTTTGTGTAAGTGTCACAATGTGAGTTTGTGGTTCTAAGTGATTTCTGAAATTCACTTTATTATTCAATTGTGATATGTTGGGATATAAAAAATCATAGGTTTGGTGCTGTTATGGATAAGGGGAGTTTAATGTTCAGCTGTCCGTTGCTGGATTTGGAATGATTAGCAAGTCTTAGGCATATCTAGCTTCTTTTCATTTTGAATTCAATCCCTTCTTTGCGTCATGTGTGAACTGTGTTTAGTTAATGTGATTCTGAATGTCTAATGGTTAAGATTATACAACATGTTCTCATATCACTTCAGTTCATGATTATGAGTTGAGTGAAGATGTATTGCTTGATTGTAATAAATTTTTGAACATTATGTCTATAGGGCTTGTCTTTAATATAGTAGCTCTGTCATAGTTAAACTCCTTGCATGTATGTATAATTGTATTGTTGTGCACATGATGAAGATAATGTTCATTGCTATTGTGCAGACAGCAGGCCCAAGCTGGTGGCAGGGTCAGCTGAAGGGTATTCTGGACATGTTGATGGGAAGCTCAGGGAGGCTAGGATGAACCACCCAAAGGGAATAACTGTTGATGACCGAGGAAATATTTATGTTGCAGATACTACGAATATGGCAATTAGGAAAATTAGTGATTCAGGTAAAATAATTTTTAGGTGATCCTTTTTGTTTGTTTGTTTGCCAGTGCTTACGTCGAGTTAGTATTTAGACAACTTAAAAATCCTATGTGTGCTCTGTTAAAAATCGTTGGTCCAGAATCTTTGGAATATTAAACCGTAACAGATTACAGTCAAATGTGGGAACCTTTCAGTTAAGATTTCTGTTTCAGGGGTCACTACAATTGCTGGAGGAAAATGGAGCCGGGGAGGGGGGCATGTTGATGGACCAAGTGAAGAAGCTAAATTTTCTGATGACTTTGATGTGGTTTATGTGGGAAGTAGTTGTTCACTACTGGTCATAGACAGAGGAAACAGAGCCATCAGGGAGATCCAACTTCACTTTGATGATTGCGCCTATCAATATGGAAGTGGATTCCCACTTGGTATACTAAGCCATACATGTTTACTGTTGAGGTTCTGTCAAGTGCTAATCAAATGTAGACTGATTCTCATCAATGTTACAGGGATTGCAATGCTTGTTGGGGCTGGCTTCTTTGGTTACATGTTGGCATTACTGCAGAGAAGGCTTGGTACAATTGTAGCATCCCAGGAAGTTAGTGCTTAGTCTTGTCCTATTCCTTCTCATGCATTACCCTGAATGATACTGATGTAGACTTGTTAGTTATAACTAAAACGGTCAATCACTTAAGTTATATACAAGTTAAGAGAAAAGAAAATAGAGGGATAGGAAGTATATGGAAGAGAAAATAAAGGAAAAGAAATAGGTGAGAAATAGAGTGAGAGCAGAGATTGTTTGGTTAATGAGAAATGATGAGGAAATAGAGTAAAAATTAATGTTTTGAGATTATTTGGTTTAAAATAAAAATAAATAAATGTTATTTTATTATTCTTAATGAATATTTGTATTATTCATTATTATTTATTTGATTATTAATAATTTTTATTTTTACGATTAATATTAATTTATTTATTATTATTAATATACTTTATCTCAACTTTCTTTCTTTCAATTTCTTCACATTTATTTCCTATCAAACTACTGGTTTTTCCTCTCTTTTCTCCTCTTACCCATTATGTCTCGTACCAAACTCATAGTTATAGAGCTTTGTGAATAAATTAACATGCACTAGACATCCAGAATTGTTTGAGGAATGCTGTTCCTAAACATAGCAGTAAAAAGCATCATGTTACTTCCACAGGGAACTGCATAATAGAAGACCTATCTATAGTTTCAAGTTATTACTTTTCAACATTGCATTACGTCAATTATAGTATCATGATACTACAGATGCATGATCTATATAATCCATCTCATATTTCTTGTAGGCTCAGGTTCCAGTAATGGTAACATCTTCGGTTCCTCGAAGTTCATATCAAAAGCCCTTGAAATCTGTCAGGCCTCCTTTAATTCCATCAGAATATGAACCTGACAAGCTGGAAGAAGGCTTCTTTGGATCCCTCGGGAAGCTTCTTGCAAATGCTGGCTCGTCAATGGTGGAGATAATGGGAGGATTATTTCCTTCTTTCAAAAGAAAATCGCTAATTCACCAATTTCAAAGACAACCACTTCTCCAGCAACCTCAGAAGCAAGCAAATGCTTGGCCTGTGCAGGAAAGTTTCGTGATCCCTGATGAAGATGAACCTCCTTCGATTGACACAAGAGCCCCAACCCCTCGAAAAACCTATCCTTTCATGTCTAAGGATGCAGAGAAAATGCAACAACTGCTGCAAAGTCGTGCATTCTATAGTGGATGGGATGGAGATTTACATCAGCAGCAACAACAGCAGCCACAGCAACAGAAACACCATCATCGCCATCAGTACCAATCGGCAACCCCTCACACTTACTACGAGCAGAGCCATGAGACAACCAATGAGATAGTGTTTGGGGCAGTGCAGGAACAGGATAGGAAGCAGGAGTCTGTGGTTATCAAGCCTGTGAATTATGGGGAGTCACTGTATGAGCCTCACCATGTTAGGTCCAGAATGAGTTTCATGGGTTATGGGCACAGGTATTGAGTACATACAATTGTTAGGAAGTTTAGATTTTAGAAGCAATGATCTCAATGGAAAGGGAAGAATGTAATCAGGTATAGGTAGTGGTATATGATTTCTTTCAGTGGGGTCTCGGTGGGATCTTATCTTATTAAGGAGAAGTTGGTGATTATAATATGAATTGTTTATTCCATTTTGCCAAATGTTGGTTGCTATGGTGTAGTGTAAGCAGCAACTCTGGCAATCATGAGGGTGGTTGGGATCAAGAAATTTTGCATGCTATTTCTTCTACGATTCTCATGTTTAAATGTCCGATAGAGTTATCAGAAAAAGGAAACATTGTAATTTTCTTTCTTTCTGCTCTATAATTGTGTTACACTAAACGTCTGCTTATCATCTCCTAAACCAAGCAAAATCACGACCTTAGACGTCCACTAAATTGAACTAGTTGGTAGAAACATGTAATTTGTACGACATTTATTTTTAAATGCTAGAAGGACAATATAATATTCGTGAATTGAGTTACTGAAGTGCTTTTAAGGATATTGGTTAATGAAAGCGTTGCTCAAACATTTGTCGCATTAAGTTTCTTTCGGTGAGTTAAGGTTAGGGGTGACCAGATTTTTCAAATCAATTAACACGGATTACGATAGGTCAACGTGGCACAAAAACGTATGGAGTTCCTCCATGCATGTGAAAATGAATTCGTCACATTTTATTACCTCTAATTGTTAAAGGGTTAAATATTGAGACTTGTTTGATAGAGAAAGAGAAGACATGAGAATACATTCAATTATGGTTTTTTGAGATTTTTATAACATTTATTTTAAATGTTACATTCAAAATATTTTTAATTAATTAATATAAAACATTATGCCAATAATGGAAAAAAAATAAACTAAAAAATTACATTCCAATTTTATCCCCCAATCATCCGTTCCCATAATGGGAGATTTTCATTTTCTTCTTATTATTCATTTTTTTATAAGATGAAAAGAGTCTCTAATTCTTACCCAGCTACATATCAAGAATATTTTTAACGGTATAGAAATTCATACTTACCATGGTTTCTATTCTCTATCCGGAAGCACAGAAGCAAAAAAGGATATGGGTATTGCCATGTTGGTGACCAAACATATGCATACTAGTTTCATAACATTAGAGCTGTCTTACAAATAACTTCATCTACGTTTCACAATACCCACATTACACACAGATGATTCTGGATGGAGAATGTTATCTTTAGGTGGCTCTACAAAGCCCATGTTAGCCTTCATCAAGAGATCACCTTCATGGCACACATTCCTCCTTCCTATGCTATCATTTCCTTCGTTAAAGGATGTCTTGGTTGAATCTTCATCAAAACTCATCAAATCCTTCAATTGGTCATAGTACTTACCTGGATTTGTTACCTCACCACTATTGTAGGCATCTAAATCTAGCAAAGACACAGACTCCAGATGCGGCCTTGGAGTAACTATGTTAATTCTAATTCTAGACATGCACACAAAATGTGAGAGACTCAATCTCCAAAACCTCATGAAGATTGTGTAAACAGAGGAGCAACTACAGCTAGCAATTGCGCTTTTGGCGCCGTAGAAGAGCATCGGAGCTGGCTTCCCCAGACTGGTTAGGCAATGCTTCCATGTCTCTCTGCAATGGCAGGGATTGGGGCCTTTCTGTCTACACAGTTCAGTTGGACAGTGTGTAAGTAACTTTACTCTTTGGCCATGGAACATAATGAAAATTTGAGAGGAACTTACATTAGAGGTGATGTAAGGGCGTACTGCAAACCCAATTACTAAGCCAAGTAAACATGAAAGTCCTAATCCAAGAGTCCAAGCCATAACTGCACCTAGCCCTGGAAAAAGAGAGTTTTTTTTTTTTTTTTCAACATTATAGTCGAACTAGTGAATCTAGGTTAGATAGAAGACAAGGAATAATTGAGCAAGGGAATAATAATACTTAATATAAAGCTCGTACTTCCGGATGGTTCAGGGAAACTCTCATTCCAAATAGAAACGAAATCCAATTGGAAAAAGACAACATAATATATGAATTGCTGTGAAATTACTTCGTTTCAAATTGATTATTATTGTACTTGTAGAATTAAGAAAAAAAAAAAACATACTGATTGCCATTTTCAGTTTTCAACGAGAATTAAAACTATAATTCCAATTTTTCTCACAAATAAGTACTATTGTCTCGGAGATTTAACAATCCACTTATAAAATTGAAGGAGTAAGGGTATTATAGTAAAATTGATTTACTAATTTATAGATTGATTTCTTAATCTGTGTAAAAAGACTTAAATGTTGATTAACTAGAAATGGAGGGGCTTATGATCAACAAGAATCATGGAAAAATGCAAATGAATTACATTAGAAAAATCCTTCGGCAAAACAGCTATGTATGATGGTACTTGAATTTTGATAGAGAAAATAGGTATGGGCAGGGATTAAATACCATTTTTACAATACCTGAGGGTGGAACAACAAAAACTGCAAAATTAACCCTAATATCAAATATGCGGAAGAGAGAAGTTTCAGTGAAGGTTGTTTTATCAATTGTCGGAGTTAGGAGGTGCCCACTTATTTGCCTTAATGCATGGAGGAAAATCCTCAAAAGTGACACATGAGACATTGGTCCCCACTGGGTTTCATTCTGTCCACTTGTTTCTAAATTGCAAACAGTAGAGCAGAAATACTCTCATCTATCACCTAATCTACTCCCATACTATGGTTTAAAAATGTCAAACGGGAATTTTATTTGTATAGCTCAAGTTATGAAATAATTGATGGTGCCATGATTTGCATTTTCAAAATTACAAGTCAATTGAAAGGTTCCTCTAAAATGATAAAATTACACTCGTAAAGGAGAACTTCTTGCCTTCACTTTGTACATGAATAATGCAATGTTTCTATAAATATCACAATATATATACAAGTCTTATAGCCTCGGTGTAATAGACGAAATTAAATCCAGTATATTTGTGTCTATGTATTCACTTACGCTAATACACTATTATTACCTTAGTTTGGGTAATGTACTAGATTCTTGTGCAAGACTCACACACTTACATCATGTAACATGTAATAACACCTTCCAACAGTTTAACTAGATCAACTAACCACTTAATATGATGTAGTTATCATAATTTCTGTTAGCATGATGTTAATTTTAATCAAAGTGGATTTTTTATTTTGATAAACTAAGCAAGATTTTCTATCTTGAACATGACTACATTCAAATTTTTGAGTGCAATCGGGCGTTGCAATGGTGAATTTACTGAAATGTTCATTCTACAGGCTTATTTATTTGTGTAAGATTCATTTAGTTAGAGAAGCTGAAAGCTAAAGCGAATAGGAAATACAACTAAACAACAATGATATCTATGCAACTGCACAGTACTTCAACTTCTCTTCAACCTCATTTTTTCTTCCTATACCTCTTCATCACATCTCTCCAATTCTGTCCCTTTATTTCTGATTAGTGATATGATATGTGAAAACTTCATCATTCAAAACACTTCATTACCACTTATTATTTTCCTCTCTTTCCTCCTTTCACATTATATTACTTATTGCTCCCACACTTCACTCTCTTCTGTCTTTATCTCTCTAAGTGTCAACTAGAGTGGATGTGTCTACAATTCCTCATTTTTATATTTTGTCTCTCTCTCTTCCTTCCACCTCCTACACCTCAAAAATGAGGTGTACACTCAGCATTTTACAAAACCCAAAAACATAAAAATGTGAAAAACATAAAAGACAGATACACACATGCCCCAATTTCTAAAATCTCACCAGATCTAGAACCAAGGGTGCAATCCTCCTCCTTCAAATTAATCTGGCGTATCAATTGATGCATGTGATCGGACACCAGCAAAGCACACAGCCCAGGAATGAAGGTCAGGTCAAAATCATTTGAAAATGATGCATTAAGTGCAGGGCCATCCTTTATGCTTGACTTTTCTGGGAACCCTCCTCCAGCAATTGTGGTCACACCTGGTCAAGACGAAATTAGACAAAAAAGAATGTTCAACATTTCCTGATAACACAACTCACCTGATCCACCATCCAAACCATGCATTTATAAACAATCATTAAGCCATTCTAGGATAAAGCAAAAAACTGGAGGGTCAACAGCCCACCACACTCAACAATTCGCATACTTAGTTTGACCCACACTTTGCTTGCCCCCCCCCCCTCCCTCTTTCCATGCAACCATTAATTTTATTCTCTCTCTCCTCCCATGCAACTATAGATTTGACTCTATTGAAGTAAGCAACGCAGTTCAGAAAGTAAAGTATTTGTCAGTCGTAGTTGAAACAACCAATTGTTGATATTTCAACAAATGCATGTTTTCTTATGCATTTTCTTGTAATATTGAAAAGCTAAAATTACTTACTTTAAATGAGTCAAATCCTACATCTATATAACAAAAACATAATAGATACATTTCCAATCCACATCATGCAGTTTAAGTTACTTTCAAGATGCTAAAGACAAATTTTGAGGAGTCTTAGCAACACACCAAGTATAACACATTCCTCATAATACGTTTTCTTTACTAATGGCTAAAATTGATTAGAAACAGCAAAAAAAACATACTCGTTAAATACGAAGTCACCAAATGTTATGATTTTCAATAAACTTCAGTAAATAATAAAGAATATATTCAAAAAAGTGTGTTGCTAACATTTCTATGCAAACTCCATATGCAACCAAAATTATGGAATTATTACAAAGCATACCCTTGGCACTAATTTTCCTTATTGCACGGTTGGACTTGTCAGCAACATACACATTCCCTCTAAAATCAAATGCAAAGCTTCTGGGTTTAGCAAACCGAGCTAAAGCCACGTCCCCATCCGAATACCCCACAGACCCATCTCCTGAAAGCCTCGTGAAAACAATTTCTGCCACAGAATAACTACAATAATATAGAAAAATCAAAACTTTGGCACGCCTAGCAGACAAAAACAAGAGGGAAAGAACCTTGGGAAATGGGGAGTTGGGCGGTGTAGAAAGTGCTGTTGACAGAATCGAGAAGGATGAGATCGGAAGAAGAGGGTCGTTGGAGGACGATGTAAGGGAATATATGAGGCTTGTGACCGTCGAATACGGTGGTGAAGGTGTAACCGTTTTCGGCGATGACGACTTCTTTCGCGTTAACTGAAAAATGACAACGAAAAACGAAAAGGAAATCAAGAAATGATAAATGAAATTGGAAGGAAGAGGAAGAGCAAGAGAATATTTTACCGTGTGAGAGGAGGGAGAGAGTGAGTGTGAAGAAGATAGAAAGAGCCATGACTGACTCACTTGCTGCAAGTGTAAGCACAAATTGCAGAAGTGCTTAGTATATATATTTGATATAATAATAGTACTACGGAGGGTTCCTTGTTGACGAAGTAGTGTACAGAAAAGAAAAAGTTGGATTCTTTTTTTGAATCTTCCGAGTTGCAACACGATGAGAGTGAGATACTAATGGGTGGGTGTAAATAATATATTTGAACTATTGTTTTACCTTTTTTTTAATCGTCATATAAAAAATATAATTTATACTTACGTTTTTTTAATTACATGTGTCTTCTAATTTTTTTTAATAACAAATAAATAAATAATATAATATAATTTCTTTAATATTTTCTTAATGGTAAGTTTTTAAAAAATTTTCTCTTTGAAATTATGTCTTTTGTTTATTTATTTTCAATCATATATAATTTCAGAAATAAATATTTATATTTAAAATATATATAATATTTAATAAATTAAAATAAAAAATATAGTAAGAAAATGGATTCACAGTAAATATATGTATGAATTTTTGGCTAATTTTACATAAGATTCATTATGTCATTTTACTAATTCATATTAAAAGCAAGATTATTGAGGGACAGTTTCTTATGTATTCTGGAATAGATATTCAATAAGATATTTGTATTTCATAATACAACAAAATGGTTATGGATTATCTATTCTGAAAATTGTTTTTAATTCAACTTAAATGTTATATGATTTTTTTTTCAAAAAGTTATTATAATTTTATGATTTTTTAATTGTTCTTTGATTTTTTTTATATTTAATTTCTTATTTTAAATATTTTATATGGTTGGTCTTGATTTTAGAAAGTTTTTCTCCTTTACTTTGCTAACTAATTATACTTTGGTAACTAATTATACTTTTTTATTTTTTATTAGTTTAATAAATTCGAATAGGATATTTTTATGTTTTATTCTATTTTCATATATTTCAAAAGGGTGTATTAACACTAGGAATGAGAATCCTAAGATTATTTCTTCACTAATACAAGGGATTAGTATAAAAAGTATTTTTAAAACATGTTCCTTTGTTGCATATAGTGTGTTTGACAATTTATATTTCACCTTTAATCTTTTAGAATTAACGGTTTTTAGAGTTTGTAGAGTTTTTTCATAATATTTTGTAGGTATTAGTCCTTCTCGTATACAATTTATATAGCTCGAAGTTTACTAAAACTGTAAATTGTTTGTGAAAATTATTTTCAATCTTTAATGTAGCTTTTAGATGTCATTTTTATTGTAAATTTTTTAGTTGATTAACTTTTTCAAAAATTACCACATCATTTAGGATGAATTTATTATTTATAATATCCATTTTTTTCTTCTTGTATTTCATTTTTTATTTTTAATTCTATTAATTGAGTTTTAATCTCTTTTATTTCTTCTTTTAGAAGATTTATTTCTTTTTGTAAATCTTGCAAATTTACTTGGTTTTTCTTTATTTATTGCCTTTTTTAATATTTTTGAAAAATCATAACCACTTACTTCTATTGATGAAGTTTTCGTGTCTTAGTATTAGAGTTTTTAATTTATTTAGATATTCTAACTTATCTTCTTTGTTAGAAAGATTATCTACCATTTCTAAAGCTATTCTGGTTTGAGTGGTTAAAACATTAATATTAAATATGCAATCACAATTTTTGTTATCTCATTTTCATTGGAGTTAGTAGTATTTTCATTTTCACTACTACTTGGTTTATATTAAATTATTTATATTTCTTCTTATTCGTATAATAATATTTTTGCTATTTTATTTTTTACTTCTTCACTTATGTTTAGGTTTTATATATTTTCTCGGACTTTACAATCTTTTTTCATATGTATGTATCTTCCATATTTATAGCAAATTATTCCTTTTTTAGGATTAGTTTGATTATTATTTATAGGTGGTTTTGATCCTATTTTACTTTTAAAGTTTCTAAAAAATTTCCTAGTATTATTTTGAGGAAATTTTCTTTTGATTATTTGTTTTTACTTTTTTTTTTTTCTAGAAGGAGGGTCTAATTTTTCATATTCGTATTGAATGCATAAATCTCCTAATTCTTTTGTATCACTTTCTTGTTGTCTTTTAATCTGTTTTTCTAACTTTAGATTATTACATATTTCTAAGGCAGTGTTTTTAATAGTTAAAATTATTTTTCCATATGTTATATCTTACAAAGGTTCGGGATATTTTTGGGATAATCTTTCTCGTACTTTTATTGCAAATACTGGGGGTAATCCAACAATAAATCTTTCTTTTCAAAATGTTTCTTTGCAATCTATTCTAGTCATCACCATGATTATGAAATTATCTACATACCATCAGAAGTCTCCTAGAGTGGGACATCTTAGATTATGTAGCAAGGTACTAGTTTTTTATTCAAAGGTATTGGAATCGTCCATGAAATTATGGATAATTGATATTATTAATGTTTCTAACATTAGTGGTATTTGTGTATTTCCTTCTTGTTTTACTGCTCGTTAAAATAAATCTTCTTTAATCATCGGATAGGTAATTTTCCCACCATCCTTTTAGGGATCCGATAAATCCTAGGATTAATAATTGTATTGTTTGTTCTTCTAAGTTTTTAGCCCTATAGGCTGAGGCAACCATGGCCATTTCATTGGTTTTTCTTAATAATTGATAATTGGTTAATCCATCTATGTTCCATTCTATTATTTCCGTTCCATTAAAGGCGGATGAATTTTCTAAATTCCATTATTCAAATTGTATATCTGGTAGGGTTAGTCTTCCGTAGTAATTCCTAGTGGTTGACATATTATGGGTAATTGGATTTGCATTAAATTTACTTCCTATTCTATTTATCTTTTCTTCAAAATCTATATTTTATAGGTTTCCTAGTTCTTCTTCCGAATTCCTATAACATTTAATTTTCTTACATTTAATTGTTCTAATTTTGTATTTATTTCTTCTAATATTCTATCTGATTGATTTTCTATTTTAAATTATTTGTATTCTTTATCGGATAATCTTATAGGGTTTATTAAAGATTTTTTTAGGTCAGTTATTCCTAACGAATTTTTACTATTTTGTTAACTTTCTTCTTCAATAGTTTTTTGAGTTATTTGGTGTAATATTTGATTTGTAAAATTTAACTGGCTATGAAGATTTTGGATATCATTTATGTTAGGGATGTCACTTGTATTCCTTTTTTCTCCTATCATTTTGAAGGGTGATGCAATTACTTCTTTATTTTCAATGTTAGGAAATCTTACTTCTTCTAAAGGAGGGATTTTACTAATTATCTCTTTATTTTTTGTTTTCCATATTTTTTCAGCATTTTCAAATACATTTATTTGTAAATTTTCTAGACAATTTTCTTCAAACCATCTGAAATACGGTATGTTTTCCTGAATTAATTCTAAGTAGTTATAATATTTTTTTCGGTATTTTTTTAATTCATTTTGACTAAAGGTCTTAAAGAACCATTCTCTTTTTTCTTGATTCTTTTTCTCTAGAAATTCTTGTCTTAAAATGTTTTTATTTTTTTCGAATTTAGTTATTACATTTATTATATTAGCATCTTGATATAATTCAGAAGCACAAGGAGAATTATAGGTTTCTATATTTTCGTATTCTGGCATTGGAATTGTGGAGTCTTATTTTATTCCTTTCAGTTTTAAACTTCTATGATGTATTAAACTAGATTTATCTACTAATCTTCTAGCTGTTACAAAAGTATTTCTGCTAGATGTTCCTCTTAATGAATTTGCTCTTCTAATTGGAGCAAATGATACTTCTACTGTTCCTGATTTATATTCAGTTATGTTTTCAACTTCTATTGGTTCTGGGGGTTCTCGTTTTAGTAGGTCTTCTAGTCTCCAGTTAAGGCCACTGGATATTTCAGTATGTTTTAAGGTTGTTGGTATTACTGCATTAACCTTTTATAAGTTTACTAAGTTGTTTCATCTTTCGGGGACATTAATAAGACTCTTGATGCCAATTGAGTTTTCATTATTTTATAATAAATTCTATATATTATAGTTATAGGTATTGATTTTGGATTCCATATATTTTCTAGGATTTTGATATCTAGTAGTATATTATTTTTCGTATTATGAAGAATTTTAAGAGCTATTAAATAATTTTGGCAATTATTTATATATATTGGTCCATTATGAAGATTTGTTTCAAACATTGCTAATATTTGATTTTCAAGTTTTACTAATCTATTATCTCTAATGGTCGTATTTATTCCTTTTCTAAAGAGATGTTTTATTGCTATTTGTATAGATCATATATGAAGTTATCTATATTCTTTTATATGTTTGGCGATTAAAATGTGAATTTAAGAGAGTAAAAATGAAATAAATAAAAAGAAAAAAATGTAAAAAATGAAATTACTTAAACTAAAAAAAATGGAAAGAAAAATAAATTTATTTATTATATTTGATATTTTTATTTTATTTATTATTATTGCTATTATTAAAAATATATATATATATATATATATATATATATTTTTTTTTTTTAATATTGATTATGTGTCACAATTCCATTTTTTCCACTACTTGTTTTGATTAAGAAAGATAAAATCCAGCATTATAGATTTTGAATTATCCCTCCTCCCTCCCATCATCCAAACACACCGTTAATGATCTTGTAATTGAATTATCCATCATTATAGATTTTCAATTATCACTCACATTTTCCCTTCTTTAGTGTAAGATTATGTTAGATCAAATGCATATCATAGTTAATATTTCAAAACATTTATTTTCACACACAAAAAACAAATATAATAAGTACAAAATAATTAATTATATTATTTTTATAAAATATAATCAATTATTTATGAGATAATACATTATTTATTCATATTTATTTTTAAAAAAAATTGATTATTTTAAATAAATAACAGTTTTGAATATTTTATTATCGTTAATAACCATATAATTTATTAATTTAATTATGATAATCAGTTCTCCTTTTAATTCTTGAAAGCATTGTAAAAAAATTAGATGAATTTTATATTACACCATATAGAATATATATTCATTTAATATTTAATACTTCTTTTATAAAATTTTAGTAAAGTTAATGAAAATAATAACTTTTTTTAATTGAATAGGGTAAGTTTTCACAAGGAACACGCGAGCCCGATTTGCTAATTACACCGTTTATTAAAAATTGTTGCTAAATGTTCCCTCCTCATTTATGGCAGCAGGGGACAAACAATTCCATTCTCATGCACAGACATTTATTTTATTTTCCTCTTTTTCATTTCCTTTTCACAAGACTCATAGACAGCAATGTCCGCATAAGGCATTGCATTACGATGGTTGCCGGTGAGTGGAGGAAGGAAAACAACAGAGAAAGAAAATTCTGAGGCTCACGCGAAAAACGCCACTCGCAGATCCAAATATTTTTCCACTATCAGATCGGAATCCGATAAACTGGATCCACTCGACCTTCCGATCATGAATACCTTCTCTTCTCCCACGCGTCTGAGGTGCGCAATGCAAATCTTACTCTTTCTTTTTATCTTTCCTGAAGGAGGAAAAACGTTGCTCAATATTTGCACCAATGCAACTAGTGAAGGATTTAGGTTGATTAGCTATTTTAGTGTCTCAATATTTTCTTTTGTTTACTTTCATTAAGTTCTATTGAAGACATCGCCAATCGCCATGCCTGATCATATACCGCTATTGTTTAATAATTGTTGTACATGTGTCATTAAATATTTTGGTAGGGATCAAAATTGAAGGCCTTGTGTCAGCATGTTTTCTTTTATTAGAATGTGAGGTCTCTGGATAAATTTATCCGTAAGTATTTAAATGAAAATAAGAATTAGTCTTCTTTCACGAGTTAAAATCAATTCATGTACCTTTATTTTTGGAGAAGTTATATTATAGAGGTTTTGTAAAATTTAAAATGCTTAAGTTGATTTTAACTTATGGTAGAAGTTTAATTCATTTAACTTAAGTGTTTGTGAAGAATTTTATACTCAGTGGTCTATCTTTTAAATTTCCTTATCTGCTCAAAATTTGTTTCAGAGGCTTATTCTTGATGGATTGAGGAACACTTTTGTATTAATTTACTGTTTGGTTTGTATTGAGATTTCTTCTCCACCCTTCCTTCCTCTGATAACTTTTGTTGTTTCGATGTAACATTATAAAAGAAAGTTGGAATTACAGTCATGCTATGTGGTCACTGACTCAAACACTTCCTTTCGATAATCCTTGTGATTATGTGCGTCTATTGCATACTGTATTTAAGAAGGAATCTTGGAAAGTGATTTTTACATGCTAAATAAAACACAGTTAACATGTAGTTAGTTTTTTTTTTCCAGAGGTAATACATGTTTATTATATAGTTTAAACTATTATCAGTGTATATTAACAATCTAATTCATATCCTTGCATTTAGGGACATGATCCGGGCCATGCGTGCTTGCAAAACTGCAGCAGAAGAACGTGCTGTTGTAAGAAAAGAATGTGCTGCCATCCGTACTTCTATAAATGAAAATTATCAGGACTATAGGCATCGGAATCTGGCTAAGCTAATGTTCATCCACATGCTTGGCTACCCCACTCATTTTGGTCAAATGGAGTGCCTCAAGTTGATAGCATCTCCTGGATTTCCGGAGAAGAGAATGGGTTACCTTGGCCTTATGTTGCTTCTCGATGAAAAACAAGAAGTTCTAATGTTAGTCACCAATTCTTTGAAACAGTATCCAATTTCGTGTCAATATTTTATTTGTTTTTTGGTTCCTCAAACTTTACTTTCCTTTCTACTAAGATGCTAGGGAGCTAGCAATATTGGAAAAGGGTTATAACAAACCTTAGCTAAGTCCCAGAGATCTTAATCACTCAAATCATTATATTGTGGGACTTGCCCTTTGTGCTTTAGGGAATATTTGTTCAGTCGAAATGGCTCGTGATCTTGCACCAGAGGTTGAGAAATTACTGCATTTTCGAGATCCAAATATTCGGAAGAAGGTAAACTTTTCATAATATTGCATTTACTTTCATCAAAATTTTATCTCTTCAAGAATACAGAAAATTAATATTGGATGTTTAGAGTTGTACATTTACGCATGCTTAGGAGAGGAAAACTGACCATAAATGATTTTATGACTTTATAGTGCCTCTTATACATAATGACGATAATTTGCTCTAATAGATTATTAATTTTGAAACTTCTTAATGAGGTGCACTATACATAGAGAATGGAGAGAGAGAACATGAAGATGTTTGTTATTTATTAAGGGTTAATTTTTAGTTCTTTATGCTTGGTGATTTTGCAATTTGGTATATTAAGTTTTTAAGGTTTCAATCTATTGGTTAATGGATTGAGTCCATATACAACTTCAAAAGTAGAATGGAAAGTTGTGGTATTGACCATCCTTTTATAATCAAATAGCATCAGGTAAAATATTTTCTTACTCTCTTGAAATTCTAGAAATCATGTGGTTGGGAACTTCAGATCCAATCCCATTCCTACTTCTTCATTACTCCCTCAATCTTCACCGATAATACCTCCCTCAAGCTGAAAGGATCTTTTACACCGTAAAATATATAATAATAAATTTTGACAACACGTTTAACTCTTTCAAAAAAATATTTTTCAAAGTATCACCACCCACTGTTTGAGGACAGGTGGATGGAAACTCACCTAAGGTGGTTTGGTCATATGAGAAGAAAGTCAACAGAGGTGCCAATGAGTAAAATGGAAGATAGTCCAATTAAAAGGAGTATAGGAAGACATTGACAAACTTTGATACAAACCACTATTAAATTCCTGTTAAATGATTTCATTGAAAATTTAGTTTTCTGATAGAGCTCAATAGCATCCATTAATTAATGTAGCTGACCTCAACTATTAAGAGCTTGATTGTTGCTGCATATTTATTTATGATCATATAATATTCGAGGTAGTTTCAGAGTTATTAGATCGTAAAGGTGTGTTGTTTGTGGATATCATTTTTTTTCCATTCATGTGCAGACTTTGTTCAATTTTTTGGATGTTTCTCCTATTTTCACTATTTTGGGTAGAAGACTGCTTCCCATTTGCTCAATGATTCTAGTCATATTGTAATTTATTGTTGAGTACTTGGCAAAATCTTTCCTGTTTATTTTTTTTAATTTTTATTGTTCATTCTGATAAGCTTAGGATACTCACTGTTACATAGGCAGCATTGTGCTCTGCAAGAATTATAAAGAAAGTTCCAGACATGGCCGAAAATTTTGTTGATTCTACTACTGCCTTACTAAGGGAGAAGCATCATGGAGTTTTGATCACTGGGGTTCAGCTTTGTACTGATCTATGCAAAATTAGCTCAAAAGCTCTTGAACATGTTAGAGAGGTGCTTTTCATTCTTTCTTATAATTATTTATGGTTAGTTAGTATATTTGCCTCCACCTACAAGTGATATTAACTGTAGTAATCTTATCCACTATAAACCTAGCACAACAAAATCATTTTGTACTGCAATATCTTGTTATAATATGCTTTTAATGTCTTTTCTTTGATTGTTTCTGAACAGTTTTGTTTTGACAGTTGTAGTTTGTTACAACTGTTCTGTTATTCATATGCAGTACTCCTCTGCTCATATATATATATATATATATATATATATATATACACACACACACACACATGGGTTCTGTAAGAGATTTACTACTCTTGTAACTTTCTTTAGTAATGAATCATATTTCTTTACAGATTTAATATGGTATACAGAACTAGTTGATCTTTCTTTTTCTGGTTTCTGCCAATTTTTTTTCTTCTTCTGATTCTATGACATCCATAAATCCTTATTCTTCTTGTCCTCCTCCTCCAACCCCTCCTCCTTTAACAGATTCTTTCCCTTCTTTTTCTGTGCCTGCACCTGACACCTTCTCCCATCAAATGGCAGAGAAGCTTGATGATAAAAATTTCTTCATCAAACTAGGACAAAGGGACACGACAATTATGTTATGAGTTAAGAACTCATCTTTGGATAATTACACAGTTACTGAATTTCTTATATTATGTCTCTTGTTGACTCTCTTTGTTCGGTTAGAGATTTGGTTTATGTAAAAGAATATTTGGATTCAATTCTTAAAGGTCTTCCTCAAGAATATGATAAAATTATTGCTCTTATTGAGAGCAAAACTTATAAATGACTATTGAGGAAGCTGAAGGTTTAATTCTTGCAGAAGAATTGCATTTACAAAAGTATAAAATGAAATAATCAAATTCTGTTTTTCCTGTTAAATTTAGTTCAAGCTCCATCTGCTCCTTCTACACATATTCTTGTTCAGCAATCAACTCCTTTTGCACATATTCTTAAACAGTAGTTTCAACATAACAATACGGAACAAATTACCCAATTTGAGTATATTGGTTTTTGTGGTGGTAGATAGGGTCGTGGAGGCCACTTTGGTTGTAGTGGAAGAGTTCACAGTGGTCGTAATTCTATATTATGTCAAGTTTGCTTAAAAAATGGTCATACTTCTATGTTTTCTTACCACAAATTTAATTCTTAATTTAGCCATCTTATATGCCTCTTTCTTCCCTTACGCCTTGGGAAAACCCATCAGCTGTAGGTCCTGGTTATTTTTCAACATCACATTGGCCTCAACAGTCTCAAAATCCTTATCAATATACTTGTAGCCCTTAGCCACTAGCTATGGTTACAAATACTGCATCTTCTCCATCTCAATTTATAGGCCTTTCATATCATCATATATAAGAATAAAATCTCCGATAAGTATATGTATTTATTGCAATCAACCTATATAAAATGGATTCCATTGTTTAGTTTAGACACAGTTTTATCATCTTTTTTTAAATCTATTTTTTCTCTCTTTCAGCAAAGCAAATATATTTTTTAAACTTATGATTCAAATGACTAACTACCTTGCGATTTTTTTGCTTGCATGATATCATGTGTTGTGCTTTGCTAGCATGTTTTCTTTGTATAAATATTATTGCTGGAGATGTCTTAATCGCCATACTTCTAGCCTTCCTTAGTTGTTGCTTATCAAAGTTGTTTCTTTGTTTGGAAATGGGCCAAGAGGTTGACCAAAAAGGCTGGATGTAGTGTTATAGGATGCAATGATTGAGATGTTGATAAGGCTTGGGCAATCCTCGCTTATAATCCTATTTTGTGGGATTCAGTTTGGGGCTAAGCTCAAATTTTAAAATGGAATAAGAGTATATCCTAGATCATTTATTGGGCCACTTGCAATGCCATCCTCTTGGCGTATAGCTATGGGTTTATTGAAACGTCTTAATTTACCTTAACTGCTACCTATTGAAATTGGTTGCGAGAAAGGGTTACGGTTGGAGGGGCTGATCAGAGAGAAAGGCTGAGTGAAGTGTCATTTAATAGATATGTGCCAACTCCAATTAAAAAAGAGATATGGGATAAGTAAGTGTTTATAAGGCTTGGATAATCTTCTTCTTACAAGTTAGTTTATTCACGGTTGAGTTAGGCATTAAGCTCAAATTCTATGAATTTTTTATTTAGTTAAAGGCATAAAAACAAGGCTCATATATGCAACTTTATATTATACTTCATCTTAGGGTGTTTTACTTGTAAACTTCTCTGCAAATTTATTTGACCGAGGTCAGCTTTTGTTGTATTCAAATACAATTTGAACAATTATTGTAGAAATGCACGGAGGGTTTGGTCAGAGTTCTAAAGGATTTAGTAAGCAATCCCTATTCCCCAGAGTATGATGTTGCTGGTTTCACCGACCCTTTTCTGCATATCAGATTGCTTAGACTGTTGCGGGTATTGGGTGAAGGTGATGCTGATGCTAGTGATTCTATGAATGACATACTTGCCCAGGTCAGTGTTATATCAATTTTAAGTTTTACATTGTATTTCTCTTAATGATTGAATTATTTGTCATTTATGTGTTGTTCTGTTTTGTTGAAAATAGTATATGCCAAAAGGATGTTTTCACCACTTGTACTCAATTTGATAAAAGCATATCACAAACTAATGTAGGTGTCTCAATAAAGGATTGAAGGAAACTTTTGTTTCTTTGTTATTTTACTTTTTCTTTCAATTGAGAAAGAAACTTTATCACAGAAAAATAGGGAAAATACAATTTGGATGATGACAAGATGTTTGTGAAATTTGAAAAAACTAGATGCAACAAGGAACAAGAGAAATTCAGAATGCCCAGTGTCTATATGGATCCAATTCATATTTAATTTCTTTTCTTTTCTTTTTAATTTTTTCAGAGTGAAAGTTTAGTGATCTTTTCACTATTAGTAGAAATAAAACATTTGCTGATATAGAAAAAGCAAATATTGATACCTCTTTGAGACGCTGAAGCAGAAAATTGTTTTTTCTTATATTGGTTATTTGGAAAGCTATCTTCAAAATTCAGATCTTGAAAACATATTGTTTGATAGGAATGCAGATATTATCATCATGCCCCATTATCTAAAGGATTGTACTCAGCCATTTATTTTCTATTGCAGTTGCTGTTTTTCAGGTATTATTCCTAATTAGTTATAGGAATTACCAATTATTCATTTCCTTTATTAGATTATTCATTTTACCCAATCATTTGAAAATAAAAATGAATAATAATGATTCTTCCTCTTTTGATTGAACCAATACAAAATAATCCCTTGAAATTTCTCTTTCTTCATGTACTACCTTCCACTCCGTTCCGATTTTTCTTCTTCTCTTTATTTTGTATGAGATAAAAAAATGTACTACGTTCCATCTTTCCTCCAATTTCTCTTAATTAACTCGATCTATACAAAAGAGAATCCCTCGAAATTTGCACCTAATCCATACCAGAATCGACACAGACAAGTCAAGGGATAGAATTAGAAACGAGAATTCGAGGTGAGTTCAATTTTTTCCGAATGTATTCATTAGGAGACTTCATGTTCCTTTGCAAGTTCAATATTTAGACTGGAACAAATCACAAGGAAGCAGAAAATGGAATATTTAGGGAGTGTTTGGTAGAAGGGAAATCTTCAGTTTGGTTTACCATTTAAAAAATAACATTTCCAAAATCATGTTTTCCAATTTTTGGCGTAGTTTCTGACAAAAAGATTCCCTTTAGAGGAGGTGGGGGTCTAAATTTTCCGAGTTGAAATATTTTTTTAATAAAAACTATGTCACTCTTATTAAATTAAAGATTTAAGTAAAATATCATATCATACTCTGACTTCTATAAAACCAACATAAATGTTTTCAACAATATTTTGGCTAACTAAACAAAGTTTAATCATTCCCAAGAATCATTTATAATTTTCTGGATTCATGATTCCTAGGAACCATGATTATCGGGTTTGGATTTTTTATACCAAAACACGCCTGAATGTAATGCTGGAAAATATACTTGATGAGACAACTTGCTTATTGCTTAAGGAAAGGAATTAGTTCTTGTAGAGAGGACACTAACAATTTTCCTCTAATATTCTAATTTGTCCCCTATATGTTGTTATAACATTTTCTATTTGGTACCGGTCTTATGCGGTAAAACCAACTACCTTGCCACTCCCTCTATAAAAGAATTGTTGTCTTGCAAATTATTATCGTGCAAATAGGAAGAAGAAAAAACATTGATTGTAATACTTTCTCTCTCTTAATCCAATAACACTCGTGAATCCATCATTTAATTCTCTTTCCTAAATTCTTCGTGTATCTTTGCACCTAGAACTGCTTCCTCTTCCCCCTCTATTTTCCCTCTTTGTGTGGCTTTTGCGTTGTTACTATTCTATACCTTTGTTCTTATCAATGGTATTAGTCTTGGTTTATTCTTGATGGCCGACGCAACTCGTAACGCTGTGGTTTTGAAAGAAATGGAAGAATGCTTGGCTGTTCGGCTTGACGCTAGATTGGTGGAACTTGCGGGGATCCCTTCAACACACGCTAGGGATTCTTTAAAAGAGACTGCCCAATAAATCGTCACGTAGTCTTCTCTTAATGAAACCTAGTCGTCTAATGGAAGATTTGCTCAACGTCACACATCCTATTTAGGAGTAATAAGACTTTCACGTATTGAATTTCCAAGATGTAATGGAGAAAACGTAGACCAGTGATTATAATAATGTGAGAATTTTTTCTCCATTGATAATACTCTAGCAGATATGCATTAGCCATTGTGCACCTAGAAGGACGTGCGGCACTATGGCAAACAACCATGACTAAACACATCCACTGTTCTTTACTTTCTTGGAAAGGCTATAGTGTGATGATAAGGAAACGATTTGGTGATATCTGCCTTGATCCTATGGCAGACCTTATGAAATTACGTCAGAACTCTACTGTGGAAGAATACTATAATGATTTTGATATCATTGCCAATAAGCTGAATCTAACGGAGGACTACACGGTAAGCTATTTTTTGTGCAGGTTAAAAAAGATATAGAAATGGTGGTGAGAATATTTCAGCCTCACATGGTTCAAAGAGATTAAAAATTACTTGAATAAAGGATGGAGTGAATACAAATGGTTCAAAGAGATTAAAAATTACTTGAATAAAGGATGAAGTGAATACAAATATAAAAGAAAACATATTAAGCATATTTCTATACAATAGCTTAATTGAATTGTATGGAATGATCAATAAATTTAGTTTTATCCTATCTATATCCATTTATAAATATATATGTATATAAAAAATTTCTATTGTCTAGATTGTATGAAGCTTCTAATTTTTCTGCTAATGCGGATACATCTTGGTCTTTTAACAAGAACAAATGGATTTTGGGATCTAAACCCATCAATTCCGAAAAATCCAGTGTCAGCTAAATATGCAGACAGCAGGAAAATCCAACATCTATGTTTTGCAAAAGCTCTCACGCCTGCATTCATGAATGAACGTCAGTCTAAAGGCCTCTGCTACTTCTTTGATGAGTTGTACACACCCGAACACAGTTTGACCCACAAGAAACTCCAACTTTATGTTATTGAAGCCCAATATTTTTTTTTTAATCAAGACATCAGTAAGCATGAATAACTTGTTGATTCACAAATTTCAGTGTGTGTGTTAACGGGAGTGACTAATTTTCGCATTATGAGGATTACTGGTATCTCAACAACACCCTCTGACATATACTGTTAGATGGCGAAGATATTCAAGTGGAAAAGAAGTTAGGTTCGTGATTGAAGATTGAGACCCCCAATAAATCACTATTTCGTCGACGGTAAAAAACTTTTGTTGGAGATACAACAAACTGCGTTTAGCTTTGATGTTTTTCTAATTCACCTAGGTTGTTGCAACCTTGTTGCATATATCCCCTTTTCCCGTCGCTCAAGTCAAATACTTAGTCTATTACACTTTCCTCATGCTTGTTATACATACCTGGGTGGTTTTGTCTCGTTTTTTTTTTAATTTATGGTCATTTTTTTAACTTACTATTTCTTTTAGGTGGCTACAAAGGTTGAGTCAAGTAAAATTATTGGGAATGCCATCTTATACGAGTGTGTTCAAACAATAATAAGCATTGAAGATAATGGTGGCTTACACGTGCTTGCCATCAATATTCTAGGAAAGTTCTTGTCGCACCAAGACAACAATATCAGGTTTGTTTCTATATCAGTTTTTTTTTTTTTTTTTTTTTTATACAGAGAATGTAAATAAGGAAATCGTAGTTGTACAACATCATGTATTTATTTTAATTAAGGTGTATGTCTACGTGTGTGTACAACATCATATTTTTCACTCTTAACATAGTATTAGGGCCTAACCTAACACGAAGAAAGATATGTCCATACTTGTTACCTGGTGGACACACTTCCCACCAGCCTTGTTTTTTTTTTTTCTTCTGAAAGCTGCTTTTCATATTTAGTTTTCCGTCCCTCTTCCTTGTTGTACTCTTATTCCTACAGGTTTTGCCTTATATCCTTTGTGACATTGCTAATGCTCTGTAAGGATTGTAGCCATCTGTTCAACTTTTTTGGCTGAAGAAGACTTAAATGTTTATTTCCTCTAGCTTGGTTGTTTCTCATCAAGCCCACTCACAATTGGCTACTCACATTTTTCCCATGCCATAGCTTTTTCTCCATGCAGCATCAATGTGTCCCCTTGATTGTTGTCCACTCCTTCAATTTTGGCCCTTGTTTGAATGTGTCCCCTTTGCTGGATGTTTCATCTTTGCACTGTCTTTTCCACTATTCACTATTACCCAAGGTGATAAGTAACGATTGATGAAGTGATGGATTTAGAATCCAACCATAGATGGGATCTTGTTTCAACCCATCCATAGGCTGTTTGTTAGTGGGTCTTTAGTGTTACGGTGGACTTTGATGACCAAGTGGATCGACTAAAGATTCTCTGGTTGTGGCCTAAGGATACATGTAGTTTATGGTTCATGAGTATCCTTTGGCCTCTTTTAACCAATTGCAAAATTTACTTATATTCGCCTCCTTTTAGATATTGTTGCCCATGTTTTAGTTAGATATTAAAAATACCTTCTTGCATGGCAACTTGGAGGGGAAATTTACCAAGAGCGACTCCTTGAATTTGTTGAGTAAGGAGAGTTAAGTCTCATTTGCAAACTACCAAATTCTTCATATGGCCTTAAATAATCACCTTAAACTTGGTTTGGGTGCCTTAATAAGGTTACTCAGAATTTGGCATGATGTGCTACAATATATGATATTGTTATTCCAAATGGTAATCAAGCTTCAAAGGAGCAAGTTAGATTAAAGACTTGTTGGTTATTGGTATAATTAAAAAAAATAAAGATCATATCTTCATTATACTTACATTAATAAAGATTAGATCTATATTTTTGGTAATGGTTAATTTTATTCTAGTATCGTATCTTTATTATCAAAGGAAACCAAATCTTTTCTATTTATTATATTGATTTCATTTTTTCAATATAAATAAATCACATCAGATATTATAGAAACATAATTTTAGATTATTATTATTCTTTTTCTTCTAATTTAACCAATGTTTTTAAGATTAGACTAATCAATTAAAACATGAGTTTAGAATTTAAAGGTTCAAATGAAATCTAACTAAATTTAATAAAATAATATTTTTATAATATAATAAATATATAATAAGTTTATTAATAAAAATATTATTTTTTCTATAAAAGAAAGAAAAATAATAAAAGATTTTATTAAAGATTATAAATATAAAATATATTAAAAAGTGTAGGATAGATTATTGTTAAAATAAGATGAAAATACAATAAAATAATTTTTATTTAAAATTAATATAATTATAAAATAGAAAAAGTTAAAATATATTATATTTTTTATAAAATAATTATATTAAAAAAATTTGATCTTTAATTTTTTTTTCATCAAAGTCAGTTTAACCCTTTAACCCAAAAATCCAGTTGGTTTTTTCGGTTTTGTTATTTGAAAATAAGAAATCGGTTTCTGGAGTCTTTTGAAGATCGTGTTTTCCATTGGACTATTCCTGACTTGCTCATGTTCCTAATGACAACTTTTCATGTCTCTAGTGACTTGTCAAACCGATCGCCTTGCTGGAATCATGTTGTGTCGATTTACGCAACCCTCAAAAATCCTCCCACTTGCCTCAGTGCAGCTTTGCTTCCCTTGGCGGCGTGTGTGGTTGGACCACCTCTCTCCTAGGTCGCTTTCTCCCTATTAGGACGGTAAAAAATGTACCTAAATTGATGTCATTATTTTTTATAGGTTTATTTAGTTCGTGGACTTAAAAAAGCTTAGGTCGAATTGCCCATAGACGTATGAGTTGAATGGTTTATAAAATAATAATTATGTTTATAAAAATATAATTTTGTTAAAAAATTATAATTTACATAGTAAATTATTATTTTTAAAATTAAAATTGATTTAATTTATATATTTTAAACTTTGATAATATATTTTTAATTTTATTATTATTTTACATGGAGTCAAAATGGCTTTTTCTCGATGTAAGGTCGGGCCAAGGTTAATAGTATGGTCTATTTTCAAATATGGACTGAGCCGACCCAGTGCAATTTTTTTAAGTGGCTTGGTCGGCCCATTTGATAGCCCTACTTCCTACCACATACCCCTGTAATTTTAGGTCCATTAGCTGATTTAGGTCCATTACCGTTTTTCTTTCTCCATCTTCGTACTTTTTTTTTTCTCTTAAAATGACAATACGACCTTTAATGTAAATAGATTCCAAATTTACTCTTTTGGAAACTGTCCGGAACGAGCTTTCCAAAAGTATTCAGAAGCATTCTAGAATCAACTTTCTTGAAATAGAAAATTGATTTTGAAATATTTGTGGAAAACTTCCAGAAACTCGGAAAGCTCATTTTGAAATTTTTTTTGGAAAAGTGAATCTAGAATAATAATATATTTTTTAGGTTCCGGATTAAACATTTCAGAATGTATAAAAAATTATACTTTTTAAGTTTTGGAACGATGAATCTAGAAAACTTCCAAAACTAAAAAATTTGGAAGTGTTATAAAATCTTCTGGATTAGTGAATTTGGAAGTTTTCTAAATCGAGGGAATAATGGTTAATAAAACAAATAAGCTTCGGATACAATGATTTTGGTAAATTTTCGAATGGATGCTATCAAGTGCTTTTTGCACAAATTGTTTTGATTGCACATTCAATGCACTTGTTGTCTCACCCAGAAGTAGTATCTTTGGGTTACGAATTATGGCAATTGCAATTGCTATTCTCTGTTTTTGTCCTCCTGGTAGTTGCAATCCCCTCTGTCAACATCATACAATCTTTAAATTGAGGCAATCACTGTTGATTTTTCACATCCACTTTTTTCAATCAGGCCAACACTTTTTCCTGGCTTTACCTCCAAGCAAAACTTGCGTAAAATTGGTGTCCCTACCTAGCAACATGGAAGTTAAAAATACACAAGACATTTTTGTCATTTGACATAGGTCATGAGGGCATCAGGAAGAAAATCTAGGGGTACATGAATAATGTGCCTTTTTTTTTTTTTTTTTTTTCAGGTTCTGACTAATGGCTTCCATAACCAAGCACACACCGATGAGAGATTCTCCCATCTTCTCTTACCTACTTGTTCTATTGAAAAGATGGATGGGTCTCACTATTCCACTTAGGCTTTTGAAATCTTATGTAGTGGGTTGGGCTAGAAATCCCAACTCGTCACCTCTACTTAATTTGTACCAGCATATCAATGTGAATAATAGCTGAAGATTGATGCTCAACTATGCATTGTACTCAAGTCCACCATCCATACCTATGTCAAACCTATTTTCCATCCTTATGGGGAATGTGCATCAGTTTGGAGTGAGGCTCATGCAGTTTATACCATTGACACGCAGTGTCTGTGCAGTGCTTGTCAAGAACTGTTGACTTTTCTTGCACCTCGACGATTTGATGGCCCTGTGTGTGCTTATCATGGGCGGATTCATGCTGCCATACATGAAGCGATAAAGAACCTTCAGCTATTAGTACCATATTACATTTCTTTAGTGAGAGAGAAGGGAGAAAAATTGAAAGGAACATCTATTTTTTGTGTTTATTTTATATAGAATAAAGAGAGATGTATAGGTGTTATAGAAACAACTGACATGCCTAATAACAAAATAACTAAAAGCTTAACAACTAATAGAAAGCTACACCACCCTTATATGTGAGAATTAGGCATTATTACATATAGCCTCTAATCATGTCTTTCATTTTAAAACCAAATATATTGAGATAGATTTTCATTTCATAAAGGAGAAACTAGAGTCTAGAGACATTACTACTAGATTTGTCAATGGAAGACATATTCACAACTCTTTGAGAGAAGCAAGGATTAATAACAAGTTGAGCACATATGACTTTTATGCTCCAACTATTAGGGGAGTGTTATAATTACAGAAATAAAGATCATATATTTATAATTACAGAAATAAAGATCATATGTGTAGTTTTGGATAACGTTTAATTTTATTCTAGTATTGTATCTTTATTATTAGAGGAAACCAAATCTCTTCTATTTATTATATTGATTCTGTTTTTTCAACAATAACAAGTCACCCATGTTGTCAATTTCAACTCAATGCTTCTCTTTTTCTTTTAGTTTAATAGTAAGTACATTGAAATGAAAGTGAAATGTAAAATTCAGTGAATTCCCATCTACTAGAATATATCTAATAAGGAGTTTCATAAGCATGGCTTTACAACTTGTGTTCTAGACAAGCTCTACCCCAACTCCCTCTTGTCATTGCTAACCTCTCGCTTCTCCATTTACAATCTCTACTATCTGGAATTAGGGTTTCATAAAAAGGGTGACACTTAGCTAGTAGTTGATGGGTTTCAAGAGTCCTGATTTTTACACTTATTTGGTCTGTTAGGGCCCTATTGGAGTTAGTTGTTTTGTTACTATCTAAGATTGAAAACTATGCTAATGTCCCCCCCTCATAAAAGTGTTTTTTAGGCTTAAAGCGTGGGGAAATGCACAAGACCTACCTTGTGCTGAATTTTAAATTTGAAGATTTAAGGTACCAAGGATCAAACTCTAGACCACTTAGACATAGAAGCACTAGTACCATGAAAATGAACCAAATAACCTAAAAGCTTCAGCTGTTAGGTAAAGACACAAATTTATATTATACTTTTTTGACATGATTGGTATTCAGTGATATTAATAGTATACATTGATTCTCCAAACTGCATACTTATTCCCTCTATTAATTTTTCCAAAGAATTTTGTAATCTTTTACTTTTTCTTGCTGTCTTCATTACTGAAGTGAATTGGAATCTTTAAACTTTTCCCTCCAGATATGTGGGGTTAAACATGTTGATGAAGGCTGTTAGTGTTGATGGTCAGGCAGTGCAAAGGCATCGTACAACAATTCTGGAATGTATAAAGGTATTAGTTGAGCAGTCTGTCTTCCTATTTCTTATTTAAATGGTGAAACAAAGCTTTCTTTTGATGCAATAAGTTAGTGATTTGACTTTTTGGTTTAGGATTCTGATGCTTCTATTCGGAAAAGAGCCCTTGAACTTGTTTATATTCTGGTGAATGAAACTAATGTGAAGGCCATAACAAAGGAGCTAGTAGACTATCTGGAAGTCAGTGATCTAGATTTCAGGGTAGACCTTACTGAAAAAATTTGTTCAATAGTTTCAAAGTAAGTCATAGAGGGTCACCATGGTATTCCTTCTTGAGCGAACATGAATTATTTTTATAATTTGGATTTTTTGTTGTGCTTTTTTAGGGGTGGGGTTAGCAAGCTAGAGTTGCCTGTGTTAGAATTAGATTTAAACATTTATTTGTCATCATGAAATAATTTTTTGGGGCATTCATGACATGTCGTTAAATAAGATATTGTGGAACAAGCTTTATTTTTGTTAATGACTGATTTTTATTAGAAACTTCATAAATTTTTCTTTCTGTGCAACATTAAGAGTACTAATAATCCTGTCCGCACCTTCCAAGTTTTGTGCAGTGGATATTGTATCCTTTCTTCAGTCTATTTTTTTCTTTGTAAGAAAGAGCAACTTGGTAGATTTCACATAGGCATCATATTTGTCCCCCTTTCCTACTTTAGAAATTGTAACAAGTTTTTTTGTGTCAACATCTGTAAAATACATTTGGTTTAGTAGTATTTGCTTAATTGTTTTTCAGGTATTCCCCAGACAAGATCTGGTACATTGATCAGATGCTCAAGGTTCTGTCTGAGGTATGAATATATGGAGCAAGCTTTTGCAGTGAATTTAAATCTCCATGGGAAAAAAACTGATCCATTCTAGTTTTTTAGGGTATTAATTAATAATTTTTTTTTATGGTTGAATTTTTTTCTCATCTCTACAATTGGCATGCAATATTCCAGGAAAAAATTATTGTTATGACAGTTTATGTTTTTTCCCACATGCTTTTTTAACATTTTATGTTTGCACAAGGACCATGATCCACCTACTTTTATGTATTTGTCCCAAAACACCACTAAATAAATTTGATGCATTGTGTTGTGATTACTATTTTGATACTTGTATTGTTCATATTAAGCCATTTTTTTTATTATACATCATTAGAATATGTTTGTTGTGATGCACTTTTGGGCCTTAAGCCTGTTTACCTTACCATGTCTTAATATCCTTTTTGGTTCTATCAAAGATATATAATATATTTTTCACAACAAAATATGGTATGTAGAGCCTACAGATTTTTGATTTTTTTTTCCTGCGGCCACCATTGATTGTCCCTGTGATTTTTGTCCAACTCGATTTTCTGAAATGTCAACACGTGCTCACATGCACCTCCTTTGCTCCTTGCCCTCTCTCCCATTTCCGCTCTTTCTTTTGTGCATCCGGTGCTATCTCTTGTCGTGAATTCCACTGCCAGGCTTGCTAGCCAAGGCCTAGTCCAAAACAATGCTTCGTTCATTGCACAAGAACACATGTACCTTCCTTATTCATCTAACATGTCTTCTATCTCTTTTTTTTGGCTCCGTGTGAATTATGGCTCTTCCTCCACCCACCAAGGTTGATTCCTCCATTTTTACCAACTATGCTACTGTCCTTTTCTCATTTGACAAGTTGGATGGTAGTAATTATGATAGTTGGGTTTTCAATATTAACCTTTGGCTTTGTGGTCATGGCTACAAAGAACACCTGAGGTAGTTTGTATCCATGATGTTGACATCCCTTTGTAGATTGAGATTGATGCTTAGTTGTGCAACATTCTCAAGTCCACCCTTCATTCTACTCAAAATCAAATTTTTCTTGCTCATGAAACATGCAGCAATGTGCCGAATCAGGCCAAGAATTTCTATACCAATGTCACTTAACAACTTGGAATTGCTAGTCCCCTTCATTCCTTATCCATAGATAATGTTCTGTCTTTATGTTCGTAGTTCACCTTTCAATTTACACTCCATTAGTCATTTAGCTCGTTAGCTCGTTCCCATAATTGCATTGTCTCCTTTACCAAAGATAATGTTTTTTTGCAAGACCAAAGTTCAAGTTAGATGATTCGCATTGGATCTCGGTCATATAGGTTGTACCGACTTCCCCCCTTAATTTGTGTTGGTGCATTTGTGGATTCTCCCCCACTTTTACATGCTCATACTTTGTCCAAATTGTCTAACTAACATTGGGAAGCATGTCAGTTAGGAAAATATGCTCGTAGTTATTTTTCTAGTTATGTTAATCGTCATGCTACATACCATTTTGCGTTAGTTCATTCCGATGTAGGGGGTCAATCAGTATGGTATCCCTATTTGCACTTTACAAAGTGATATTGCTCATGAGTACCTCTCCAATGAATTTGAACAATTTATTGCATCTCATAGCATTCTATACCACACCTCTTGTGCTTACACACCTCAATAGAATGAGATTGTTGAATGCAAGAATCAACATCTAATTTAAACCACTTCTTTGGGAACTCTGCTCCCAATTCTTAACCAAACTTTACTCCTATACCACCTACTCCCTTTGCTTATTGTCTTTAATAGTTATCTCCTCCTCCTCTCTAGGTTTATTGTTGTTTTCCTCAACAACTCCTCCACAACCTTTACAAGATGGACCAAGAGGCTCCTTCGACTATGATTGCTCCGACTCCTTCGACTCTATCTTTTGAGCTTCATCTTCCTATTTCTTGGTTGAAAGGTATATGTTCCAGTTGGAATCCCTCTCCTTGTTATGTTAACATTAGTTTTCATTGTATATCTCCATTGCATTACATTGGTCTTTCATTTGTCTTTTGTGTCCATTCCTAAAGTTCATGATGTATTTTCTCACGCTAGTTAGGGCCAAATAATGATGGAAGAGATGTATGCCCTGTAAAGTAGTAGTATTTAGGACCTCACTCTTCACCTAATGATAATATCAATTATCTTAAAGCTTGCTTGGTTGTAAAAGGATATATACAAATCGATGACCTTGACAACAATACTTCGTTTCTGTGGCCGTCAATCTAAATCTTCTTCTCCATAGTTGCTTTGTCACTGGCTTCTATATCAGCTTGATATTAAAAATGTTTTCCTAGGGTGATCTTTTCGAAGAAGTTTACATAAAAAGTAACCTCTTGAGGTTTTTGCTCAGGGGAAGTCTTTAAACCTTGTGTGTAACCTTCATAAATCTCTTTATGGACTCAAACGATTTCCTAGAGCATGGTTTGGTTGATTCAATTCAACATTTTTGTTCGACAATTTGGCATGCACCAAACTAAGGCAAACCACTCTATCTTTTATTGCCACTCAGGTCAAGAAAATATGTACTTAATTGTATATGTTGAGGACATTGTGATTATAGGTAATGATTACTATGGAATCTTAGCTAAATAACATCTTTGCCATTATTTTCAAACCAATGATATTGGAAGAATTAGGTATTTCTTGAGGATAGAAGTTGCATAATCTAAAGATGATATTGTGTCTTTTTAGAGGATGTATGCATTGGACATTTTAATGGTTGGCTTGATGAATGCTAAGTTTGTAGATACCCCTACGAAACCTTATATGAAAATCTTAACAAATCAAGGAAATCCTTGTTTAGACCTTGAGAAATTTAGAAAGATGGTTGAAAAACTAAATCTCACTAATACTCATCCAAACATCTCTTCTGTAGCTAGAGTGGTGAGTCAATTTCGTAACTTTACTTGTGAAGAGCATTGGAATGTTATGGTTCATATTATGAAATATTTAAAAGAGCACCAAGGAAGCTCTCTTGTATGAAGACAAGGGTCACTCCCAAATTGTGGGATATTTTGATGTAGACTGGGTTAACACTCTTTATTATAAATGAGGTTAAATTCAAGGGGGGAGGGGTAAATTAAAGTGTAAAAAATTTAGCAATTGCATAAGTAATTTTCTTTAAATCAAGATAGTTATGTTTCAAAATCATAGTTTGAGTTGAAGTTAATGTTCTTTAGTACTCAATTATCAAGATAGCAAGATGCACTAGTCAATATATGATGCAAGAGTTAAAGGAGAGAAAGAACACAAATTATATTGATTCACTTGGTACATCTTGTTGCTTAATTACCTTAATTAAGCCAAATCACTAAATTTTCCAGTTTTATAGAAAAAAATTACAAGAAAATTACCACACCCCAAGACCTTGCATCCTGCAAGATCTAACCACTACACTTGTTAAACCCTATCATAACTATCTTGATCAAGAACAAACTATGTTAAAAAAAAGTAAATGGAACAAAATTACCTAGAAAGTTACATCACACTTTGAATTAGAGAAGATGTGGTGATCCAAGACTCTAAATCTTTGATTTGATGCCTTTGATTCTACAGAACAATTGTAAGAATGTGTTACTAACTGATACTTGGCTGGATTTCAAAGAAGTTTTCAAACATGTTTGGATGATTTTTTGTGAAGAATTGAATGAGATATATCATAGCACAACCTTTTATCTACTTGTTTTAATAGATTAAAAATGTTTCAGTCCATTAAAACAATACCTTAAGAAAGTTTGCAGATTTTTAATATGTTAAAATTGCTAAAACAGTAGTACTTTAAGTGATTTTAATTGGTAAAAAAGTCATTTTAATTGGTTAAAATAGTATGCCTATGAGACTTGTATTAAGTTTAATAGTTTTAATCGATTAAAATATTCCAGATCTTTGTTCCAACAATCATAAAAACATTTTTAATAGATTAAAAATTGTTCTAATCTTTTAAAACTTCACTATCCATTATAAGTAAGGCTAAAACACAATAACATAACCTTACACAATCTAAGCTAAATTAAAGATGTAAACCTCACAACACTTAATACAAGGATTTACAACACCATAGTGATTAACCAAAATTTTGCTTCATCATCGCTTCCATCATCAAAGTAAAGGTGGTTGGAAACATCAAATTCTAAAAGTCTTTAGTATCCATGTCATAACTCCTATTAATAACAAGTTTACATTTAGGTATGATATCTTTGTGGGTGAAAATTTAGTTACATGAAGAGTGAGAAGCTATTGATATTGCTAGATTTAGTGTCGAAGCATAATATTAACCTATGGCTTTAGCCATTTGTCCTTGTGTGCGTGCCTAAAGTAGTTACGTAAATAACTTAAGTTTGGAAATATTTCTCTTATGACTCTTATCTATGATAACTAAGTTGCTTTGCATGTTGCCTTCAACCAGGTGTTTCATGAATAACCAAACATATTGAAATAAATTGTCATTTCAATTGGGAAAAAATCTCATCCATGGGTGGCAAAATAGGTTGAGCGGTTGGCCAATCAATACTCAAATTGGTGGGCGGTTGAATTAGCATTTTTAGCCCACTAGTTTAGTGGGCCAAAGGTGGGATGATGTGGGTTGGCTTGGCCCATCGACCCAATACTTATAATTATTTTTTTTAAATATAAAATTATATAGTTGTAAAAATAAACATCAAATATTTGTGGGCCAGCCTGCTTGCTTTTCAATAGATGAGACAGGTTAAGGCCTACAATTTGTCCTAACTATGACGGGTTATAGGTAAAGCAGGCCAACATTGGACAAGTTAGTTCGTTTTCCACCCGTAATCCTACATGGTGACATTAGGACTAGTTTTCTAAATTCCAATGATCAACTAACTAATGTTGTCTCTAAGTCTTTGAGGGTTCAAAGATTGACTATGTATATAACAAACTTAGTGCATATTACTTGTATGCTCTAGCTTGAGGGGAAATGTTAAAATATGTTAGTTTGTTGTAATGGGTTGTTAGGTCTTAAGACCGTTACCTTACCATGACTAATATCCTTTGGTTCAACCAATGATAGATGATATACTTTTTACCACAAAACAATACATATGAAGTGCAAATAGTGATCTTTATGCTATACTAGTAGGCTGGAAATGTTGTGAAAGATGAAGTATGGCATGCCTTAATTGTTGTGATAAGCAATGCTTCTGAGCTTCATGGATATACAGTAAGAGCATTATACAAGGCATTTCAGAGATCAGTTGAACAGGTGCTCTTTTCTGCTTTAACAAAATTTGTTCATGCTGTTGATTTTCTCTTTCTGCCATTAATTTAATATCATTGTTTTATATTTTTCATCAGGAAACTCTTGTTCGCGTTGCAGTGTGGTGCATTGGAGAGTATGGTGACATCCTACTCAATAATATTGGATTGCTTGATGTTGAAGATCCAGTAACGGTGAGTGAATGATTCTTCTTGAAAGGTTATACATAATATTTACTGTTGCTTACATTCCATGAAAATCATAAAATCATTTTATGCCAAGCAATTAACAAGTTGATGTTAGTACCCTTTGGATGAGGCTTCTTTTTTTAGTAGCTCCTATTTAGATGATGGATAATGATATAACAAAAGGCAGTTTTTCCTTGCATTTGCGAAAAGCTGATTTCATTAATGTTTGTTGGAGTATTTTGGGTGTTCTTGGGTTGTAATTTTTGGGACGTGGCAGGTATTTGATGTTTGTGTGGTAGACTGAGAGTCCTATTATTCTTATTACAGGTGTATTAAGTGATTATTAACTTATTACGAGTTATGTTATGACTTGTGAACCTATTTTAGTCATGTATTGGACTTTAATCTTTATGCATACACATGTTTATAAATATAATTTTGCTTATAGACAACTCTTACAAGTCGAGTTAAGATCTATTACCCCGCACTCGATCCTCTTAGTATCCTCACTCGATCCTCTTAGTATCCTCAAGTTCGACAACATTGCATTTTATTTGTCTCTTGCACTGGTGCCATGTAGTAAATAAAATTAGTAAATCTCAAGACTACCTCCTCACTGTTGAAGTGAATAATCTTGCTCTTTTCCTATTTCTTTTATAATTCTCTTATAATTAAAAGGAAATAGGGAAACTACTCTTTCATGTTTTCATGTTAGTCGCCAATTTTGCAAAAATCTAAGCATGAAAACTACTTTGCACTAGACCCACGAAATTTAGCTCCTCACCTGTCTCTTTCTTTCTATTATAGTGTAGTTTTACTCCTTATTTCTTTACTTTCTCGTACAGCTGTAGAGTAGTTACAATATTCTTTTCTCTTTAACAAACTTACTGTTGGTCAGTTAGATATTTGTTACTGTGCTAAGTGTTTGTAATTCAGATCTAACTACCTATTAGTTTCTTAGTTTTTCAGATTTAACTACATTGCCTATCAGTTTGTAAGTGAGTTGAATTTCTTCTTCTCTTTCAAACTTCAATATGATATCACAGAGCTAGTTTGATCCGCTTTATATTTTCTTTCCCATCCCAACCTAATCCTCTGCTTTGTACATGGATTGTGAATTAGTGGTTGTTGTTCCTTAACCAATAAAAGTAAAAAAGAAGAGAAATATATACTTTAGAGGGCTTAATCACACCTTCCATATGATTCATTTATTTATAGTGATAAAAAATAAATACAATGCGTAGATAGAAAATCAAGCGACTAAAGCTGACTAAAAACCTTGGTGTAGAGATAGATACAGCTCATAGGTTCATAATTTGAACACTTCCCCTTAAGCTAGATCATACATATTGTATGTACCAAACTTGAAATAAATGAACTCAATTCGAGGACCCCTTAATGATTTTGTTAACACATCTACAAATTGATCATTAGATACAATAAACACCGTACAAATTTCCCTGGTCACCAACTTTTCCCAAACGAAATGACAGTCAATTTCAATATGTTTTGTTTTGAATCTCATAGAATTTGAGCTCTTGATGGAATTGTTTCACCCACACCAGTTTGCAAGTGAGAGATGTTATTGTCTTATATTCAGCTTCGGCAGTTAATTGGGCCACTACATTTTGTTCCTTGCTTTTCCAGGAAATATTTCCTCTAAGGAAAACATAATATCCGGTAGTAGAACGTCTGTCAAAAGGGGATCCAGCCCAATCAACATCACAATACCCAAATATTTGAGTGTTGCCTTTATCTTCATATAAGAAACCTTGTCTCAGAGTCTTTTTTAGATACTTCAAGATATGGATGATGGCATTCCAATGGTCAATGCAAATGTAACAACCATAAGGCTAAGGAGGGGAACCATCCCTCAAAAGCTAGCTCAAGAGGTTGGAGAACCTCTCACCTTATAAGGCCTCCCTGGTAAGGAGACCTCCCCAATGTGGGACTTGTTACAATATCACCCCGTTCGAAAGTCAGCGTCCTCGATGGCTGCACTCGTCGGCACTTCACTCACCGACACTTTACTCGGTCTTCTTACCAGTCAAAACCCTCTGTGGGTAGCCCTTCTCGAGTTGGCTGACTCTCAACGAAAGCACCAATGTAACAATCATAAGGCTAAGGAGAGGAACCATCCCTCAAAAGCTAGCTCAAGAGGTTGGAGAACCTCTCACCTTATAAGTCCTCCCTGGTAAGGAGACCTCCCTAATGTGGGACTTGTTACAATTATATGAACTAGCTAACAATACCAATTGCAAAAGACAAATCAGGTCTAGAAATGGTAAGATAGATAATCTTTCCAACTAGTTTTCTGTATCTTTCTAGATCAAAGAACGGTTCACCTTATTCCATCATTAGTTTTTTATTTGGATTCATAGAATTGTCTATTGGTCTACAGTCAATCATACCTGTCTTTCTTAAAATATCTAGTACATATTTCCTTTGAGATATCACAACGCCTTCTCTTGATTGAGCTACTTCAATTCCTAATAAGTATTTGAGATTCTCAAGGTTCTTATAATTGAGATATTCTAGCAACATCACTCCTTATAATAACTATATCATCAATATATATTATTAAGTATGACAATAAAAGACTGAATGATCTGCTTCACTTCGTCTTAGCTCAAAAGTTTGCACAATGTGGCTTTGATGATGATGTGTACAAGACTGCATTCAAAACATATGTTGACCACTATGAATACGTTGTTATGCCCTTTGGCTTAACAAACACTCCAGCCACTTTTCAGGGGTTAATGAATTCAATCTTTCATCAATTTCTTAGAAAAAATTTTCTGGTCTTATTTTATGATATCCTCATATATAGGAAAGATTTGCATGGTCACTTACATCTCTTGCAACAAGTCTTTTCAACATTGCGAGCAAATTCATTATTTGCTAAATAGTCCAAGTGTTTTTTTTGTTGTTAATAGAATAGAATATTTCGGTCACTTTATATCTAAAGAGGGATTATCAACGGATCTTGCCAAGGTTGAAAACATGTTGAATTGACCAGTCATCAAGAAGTTGGGGGGTTCTTTGGGATTAATTCGATATTACCGCAAATTAGCAAAACTCTTACAGAAAGATGGATTTCATTGGACAGAAGTAGACACAAGTTTTCAATCAATTATAGGAAGCTTTAACAATGGCACCAATGCTCGCATTGCCAGATGTTCAAAAGAAATTTGTGGTTTAGGTTGATGATGCTTCTAGAATGGGCGTAGGTGTTGTTTTAATGCAGGAACAACACCCTATAACTTTTATAAGCAGAGCTCTAAGTTTACAACAACAAGCTTTCTCCACTTATGAGAAAGAGTTACTTTTGGTTAGTCTTTGCAGTACAAAAGTTGCGGCACTACTTGTTAACCACTCAATTTGTGGTCAAAACGGATCACTATAGTCTTAAATATGTGCTTGACCAATACCTTACCACAATATTTCAACAAAAATGGTTAACCAAGTTAATGGAGTTTGACTTTATCATTGAATGTAAGCATGGCAAAGAAAATATGGTAGCTAATGCATTATCAAGACTAGGCACATTGGATTGTAATGCCCTAATTATACACCAAATGAAGCCAGAAATGTCTTAGAAAATTCATGACTCTTATTTGAATGATCCTCATCTCCAATGGCTAGTGGAGGACTTACACACCAATCCTAGTTCCCACAAACATTATCGTTGGATTAATGAGGAATTGAGAAGAAAAGGAAGATTGATAGTAGGTAATGATGTTGATCTACACCAAACCATCCTACATTGGCTCCACACTTCCCCCTCAAGTGGACACTTGGGTATAAATGCTACTATGTAGAGAGTTAAGTCAATTCTTTACTGGAGGGGCATGACAAATGATATAAAGATTTTTGTTAAGCATTGTGAAGTGTATCAAAGATCCAAATATGAAACAATAGCTTCCCCCGGCTTACTACAACCTTTACCTATTTCGGGACTTGTTTGACAATATATTTCCATGGATTTCATAGAAGGATTACCTAATTCTAGAGGTAAGCAAGTCATTTTCATTGTTGTTGAAAAATTGAGCAAAGTCGCTCATTTCATGGCCTTAGCTCATCCCTACACAGCCAAAGATGTAGCATAAACATTTATGGATAATGTATTCAAGTTGCATGGATTTTCAAGTACAATAACTAGTGATTGTGATTCAATGTTTATTAGTACATTTTGAAAGGAATTCATGGCTTTCCAAGGGGTTCAGCTACAACTTTCCTCCAGTTACCAACGGATGGCCAGACCGTGGTAGTTAATAGATGTTTGCAGAGACATATCTCAGGTGCATGTACTTTGATTTCCCCTTTCTGTGGAGTAAATGGTTGCCATTGGTTGAGTGGTTGTATAATACCATTTACTGTACTTCTACAAATACAACTTCCTATGAATTTGCTTTTGGACAGCCACCATCGTTGTGTAGTCTTTTCTTCATGGAAGAAATGTAGCTTAGTTTAATAATGATTGGACTATTAGCCATTGATACCTCTAAGACACTCTGCTTGTAATGTATATTGTAGCACCTAGGAAATTCTAGAAGATTAATCTTTCATTACATTCTTTGCTATTTCCTTATTATTTTTTAAGATTTTGTTATCCTTCATTTGTTTCATGCGAGCAGGTCAGCGAGTCAGATGTTGTGCACATTGTAGAGATTGCTTTAGAACGCCATACATCGGATCTTACCACAAAAGCAATGACTTTGGTTGCCCTATTGAAGCTATCTGCACGGTTTCCTTCTTGTTCAGAGTATGATATGCTTTTTCATTTGGTTTTACATATCTATTACATTATACCTTAAAATGGATTTTCTTTTTCTTTTTGAGTAAATTACACTCTTGTCTCCAAAGACATACGAGTATTATATTGTCCTTCCCTCTTTTGTTGAATACACAATTCCCTCACGTAACATGTTTGAGTATAGCACTTATTTTGAACTTTTTGTAAATGTTTCATTAATTTCCATTAAAAAAAGAGTTACTACTAAAATATCCATTTTAACCCTACCATCTCTTAAGAGATGCAAGTTATTACATTGTCCTCTCGTTTTAAAATATACGCTTCCCTCCATTGAGCGATGTAAATATAACACTTTACCCTATATTGTAATTTTTCATTAAAAGTAATTTTAGGACCTAAATATCTTCACTCTCTTAACATGAGACATTTACATATTATGTTTTTTTTTTTCTTATTTTAAGATATGTTAAGGTTCCAACATAAAACCAATTGACAATATGTGGAATAGTCTAAAACCATACCAAATGACATGAGGTAGATGATGTGAGACTTCCAACATGCCTCCTCCAACGAAGTCTGCCGGATCAGGCAAAGGGTACTTTTGACCTACAACGAAAGGACAACTCTTGGCCCAAGATAATAACCGGAAAGATGTTAAGTTTTTGCTCTGATATCATATTAAAGTTCCAACATAAAACCAATTGGCAATATGTGGAGTAACCTAATGTGTATTTAAACCATACCAAATGACATAAGACAGGTGATGTGGGACTTCCAACAAGATATATAATTTTCTACTTTAATAATTGAAATGTACATAACAGTTTTGAACAATTTTTTCTATAAAATATATAATAATTTTTATTAAATAATTTATTTTTATTAGAAAACCATTTTATATATTTCTGCTTTTTTTAACAAAAATAATGCTACTAAATTATTTTATTTTTATAATAGATTTTTTATCATAAATTCTTTTTCCATTGAACATTCTAGCCTTTTTCTATATTAAAAACAAATTTAATGAGAGGTTTTGCCATTGCAAATTGTTCACTTTGTTTGCAACCCCTAGGAGAGAAACAATGTTGATGTGTAATTTACTCTTACATTTTTACTGCCTTTAGTATATTCCAGCAGATCCTGCCTTTAGTACTCATCTCTAATAAAACATGGGATCTTTTTCTTCCACGTCTCTTCACCTCACCTCTTTACATATCAAATACTTGTGTGTCTGTGACAAGCTCGTATCCTGCTTGTATTTGCATTTGACATGAAAGCATTCTCATTCAATATGTAGGAGAATCAGGGAATTAGTCGTTCAGTACAATGGGAACTTTGTGTTGGAATTGCAGCAAAGATCCATAGAATTCAATTTGATTATTGCAAAGCATCAAAATATTAGGTGAGGTTAACCAATTTGCGTATATAGTATATTATATCAAAAGCTTAAATTGCTACTACACTCTTAAGAAGAAACCCATAAAAGAGAAAATATTCATCATCATGCAGGCGTACACTTGTAGAGAGGATGCCAGTTCTGGATGAGGCTACATTCATTGCTAGGAGGGCGGGACCTTTGTCTGATGCAGGTTTAACACGTACAAATGGAGTAGCCAAATCTGTGGCTCCTATTGCAGATCTTCTTGATATAAAATCAGATGATGCTCATGTACCAAGTTCTTCGGATGGTGATCTTCTTCATGACCTTCTTGGTGTTGATCTTTCACTGCCATCTCAACAGTCTGGTTAGTGTTTTGGTGTATCTTATAAATTATCATAATGCTTGTATAATTGAATTGTTCGTATCTAACAACCACCATCATAGTTTATTATACCATAAACAGAAACGTAAGGAGCTCTATTTTTTATCAATACAGATTTGACAGTTCTTTTAGATAGAAAAAAAATCCTTTTGGAGGAGAAGAGTACAGAAAGATGATAAGACACCTAGAACCTAAAATATTGAGTCACGTAAAAGGGCACGTCAGTCTCTATGTATATATAAGAAAGTAACATCGCTATAGTGACCAAGAAAATACCTGTCCCAATTGTTCTCTACAGATGCAAATGCTCCCTCGAAAACTCTGGCATTCCTTTCCCGTTAAAAACATTAAAGAACTGCAAAGACAACACCGCTACAGAATATTGGCTCTGAAAAAGCCAAATGAAACTAATATTCTGCTAAATTTCATCCTAAAACCAATTGACATTGAGTAAAGTTCCATATAAGTTGCACCTCAAGAATTAAGACAAGCAATCTGGAACGGAACCTCCTAACACTCTTCCACATATGCCTGGCAAAACAGACCAACCTACCGAAATAATTTATTATTAAAATGAACTAAAGGCTATAACATCATTTTAGATTCATCTCAACAAAATTAGCATTTAACCAAGTTGTCCAACAAATATACAAGTCACATTCCAATAATTGAGGCAAGCAATGAGGGACTTCCAACATGTTTGTGATATGATTGTATAGTTTTAAAAATATCACAAAAAATTACTATTTTGTGGGTTTAGTTTCATTAACTAGAAGTAATTGGTAAAGTACAAATTGAAATATTTCAAGACATTAAATTTTTTTATCATGGATTTTTCTGTGGAAGAACTGTGCAAAATCATTTAGTTTCCTTTATGGTGAATACTTCAATTTAACATATTCATATAACGTCTGACTTTTACTTTTGCCTTTTTAGATGCTAGTCAACCTTCAAAAAATGGCACAGATGTTCTTTTGGATCTTTTATCTATTGGATCGACTTCTGCACCTACTGAATTACCTGTAGAAAGCACCTCATCGACGATTGACATATTGTCTCCCAAACCAAGTAAGAAGGCACCAGTTTCACCATTAGATGATCTAGCATCACTTTCACTTTCTTCTAGAGAAACTTTAAATGCTGGAGCTACTCCCAAGATGGATTCATTAGATGGTTTTTCCCCCAGCCCACCAACAAAAGGTAAACATTGTTTAACAAGTTGGTGATTTGTACCTTGTCCAAGTACTAATTCCTCACTCTTGTCTTGAATAGAAAACAATGAACTAGTTTATCCATCTATAACTGTATTTGAGAGTAGCTCCTTGAGGTTGGTGTTCAATTTCTCAAAACAGCCTGGAAACTCTCAAACAACGAATATTCAGGCTACCTTCACAAATTTGACCTCAAATGTATATACGGATTTTGTTTTTCAGGCTGCGGTTCCAAAGGTATGCCAGTTGGTATATGCTGTTGAGTGGCAGCTTTCTGCATGTACTGTTAAGATCATCATTCACATGGTGTTTATTATATAATATTTGTCTAATGCCTTCAATCGTGTTTATGTCTCCATGCTTTTCTAGTTGCTATCGAAAAATGTCTTCTCATTCATTTATTTGACACATAACTGTAATAAGACTCCTCCATGCTTTTTGGTAAAGTGCAACACGGATGGGACGGGGAAAAGGAACACTAGGTAGAGTTGGATGTGGTGGTATTTTTGGAGCTCTATCTTCTATAGTAGGATTTTTTTATTTTTTTTTAATGTGATTTTTAGGTGCTGTAAATGATTGGTATTATTTGTAGTGCCGACCTCGTTGGGATGATAAACAACACAATGATACTTTAGCATTACCATTCTCGGTAAAAAAAGAAAAAACTATTATAAGAACTTCACAACATAAAGAAACCAGAGCTTGGGGCTCTTTACTTGTTTCGATTTTTGGTTGACTGATTATGACTGTAATGAGAACTTCTTGGAATAAAATGTGACTATAACTGTCAGTGATTGAATGATTTCCTATTTATGTGTTTAGTTGTTTCGGATTTTTTGGTAAATCATGTTTATCTTAATTGTCATCTCCTTATATTGGTTTTTTAATTTTCAGTTTCTTCAGTTGCACTTAGATCCAGCTAGCAGCAATACTCTCACTGCTAGTGGAAAAGAGTCCATTACACAAAATATGAGAGTTACTAATTGCCAACATGGAAAGGTAGATTTTTCCTTGTTATGTAAATTTTGTGCTCTACCATTTGCCTTTTGATTTTATTTACAAATCCTTCTATAGAAGACGTGACACGGCTAGCAATTATTCTATTTCAGAAGTCTCTTGTCATGCGCATAAAGATAGCATACAAGATAAATGGCAAAGATACATTGGAAGAAGGACAAATCAATAACTTTCCTCGTGATTTATAAGGCCAGTTGGTCAGAGGTCATTCCGGCTAATGCATAAAGCTCTATATATTTCCTCACTTTTAGTCATTTGTGCAATTTTCATGACCCATCATTTCATGAGGTCTCAGTATGACCACTTTTTGGGTTCTAGGTGTGGTCTGTTAAGCGGCTTCACATCTTCACCATACAATATTTTCCCCTTTAGGTTGTTTATGTAAACCATTAGTACAAAGTATTCCTGCATGAAAAGCCGAAATCATTTTTTTCCTTTCGATGCAGAGAGTATTATATCACGTTGAGTTCTTAGTTGCTAACTATTTTCACTGAAGGTAGTCTCTCGGTTAATGCACTTCAGGCTATAATTGTTTCATTTAGTTTAATATCTCATACGGATTTTAAACGGGTGAAAGTGTTGATGTGATGAGTGGGCCAAAGTGGATGGATGCGTGTAAAGGTACTGTGGTTGTCATGCCTAAGCCAAAATTTGAACTACTAAAGCAATAATATATGGAAAGAGTTAATCTACTTAATAAGATGTGTCTCGGAGTGAATACTTACTAGGTTTAATATAATGTTGCCCCAAGATTATATTTATGATATGTACTATGGATTATTTTACCTTTGAAGTCAAGTTGGTCTTATTATGGGATAAGGACCTTTTGGAAAGCCTTATTATTCAGATAAACAAGGGTAAGGATTTTTTTTACAATAATCTATTTACAAACATCTAATATATAATCTTAAAAACTTTAAAATAATATTTTTTAGTTGATTGATGGGAAGATAATGAAATAAAATAGGTAAATAATAATATAAGAGTTGTTGAATATGTGTTATTATGTCTAAAAATTACAAATAAATCGAATGAATGAATTTGAAAGATATCAAAGAAATCGGGGTATCAACAATCGAGAATTGAGGAATTAAATAATGGAGAACATTGAAGCATCGAAGAAATAAAATATAGATAAGAGATTATATTGTGATGTATTAAGATATTTATGTAGAAAGTTATGATTTAGTTCCTTGGTATGTGTAGTTACAAGTGATACATATCAACAAAGTGGAGCAAAGGGAAGTAATTATAAGAAAATAATGTTCAAGAATTCTAATTAATAGTTTTATTTTATATTTTTATTATTTTATAACCTTGGTAGTTATATTGTAAAATATATATATATATATATATATATATATATATATATATAAGATAAAATAAATGTAATCGAGATGATTGTCAAGTTATATGAAGAAATTTACATTCTAAAAAACGTTAGGAATAAAAAATATGTATTTTCAAAAGAGTTCTTTATAATTTGGATTGTTACCTTAGTTGATTTTCTCTATCAATTTTTATTTTATCTTTAGTAATGAGTTATATTTATTTTTCTATCATTTAATTTATTCTCACATTTTCTTTTCAAGCAATTTACTTTTATAATTCTTTATTATTTTTGTAATTTACTTTAAATGTTTCAAATCATATTAAATATAAAAGTTGAATTCAAACAATCTTTGATTGAAATTTATTATGTACTAAACTTTGAATAAATTTAAAAAACTCATGTAGTGTTTAAGTGATTCATCATATAAGTTTTGTTATTTACATTGAATAGCGAATCATTTACACTAGAAACAGATGTTTGATAAAGAGAGATTGTTGATATATTATTACTCAATAAACAAAGAGATAAATTTCTTCAATCCATTATTAAAAATGTTTAAAATATCCTAAACAATATTTACTTGTATGGGGTATGGATAATTTAAGAATATATAAATACACATAATATAATTCACTCCAAATTTGACCTACCAATCCTTCCTAACCTCTTTAGGGATTTCAGACTAGCAACGAGGTATGGATTGAAGATATATCAAACACTACTTGTTGTAAGGTAATGACACATTCTAATTGTAGCTTATATCAACACATATAGGACATTAACTCATATAATGGTATAAAACATAGGTTAAACTTGATCTTATTGGTACTGAGTGTCATTGCACTTATGAGCATCTAAAATTAACACATTTTTAAGACTTTTCAACTCTTGTGTTATAACTTGTGGCTTAATATGCTTAAGCTAATATGTGCACTTCCAATATGTCCCCTCCAACGAAGTTTGTCGGATTAGACAAATAGTACTTTTGACCCACAACAGAATGACAACTTTTGATCCAAGACAACAACTGGAAAGAAGTTAGGTTTTGATTCTCATATCATGTTAAGGTTTTAACATAAAATTAATTGACAATATGTAGAGTAGCTTAACAGGTATTTAAACCATACCATATGACATGATGCAGCAACGTGAGACTTTCAACATTTTGTTATACGCTTTTTAAAGAAGGAGATTAATCTTTATTGAAATTTATTTCTTATATCTTAATCCACAAATCTTCAAGTGGACTTTTTATTCATACAAAATGAATGTGTTGTTTTCTTTACAATATTTTTCTTATCTACCTTTTTGTTTTTCATTTTTTATTGTTTGAAGGTGTATCCATGGAATCTTACAAATTCATGTTTATAATTATTTGAGTTTTGTTATCCTGCGTAGTTAGGACTATATTAATTGGCTTACTATTTAGATAATTTATTTTCTGCAACTTATGACTTTTATAAAGAAAGATACGTGTTTTACCAAAAAGGTAAAAATGAAAAGCAGCACCCATCTAATATGTATTTTTATTATTCTTAAGAAGAAATAAACTATTTCATTAATCATTTTATGTCAGTTACGCTTTAAAGTGGTGTTTTTCTACACTTCTTTTATACATTGATTTGATTGTGTGTAATATATCAGTAAATCCTCCTAGAAAATTAACATAATTTGTCATATACCAAAAAAATTACAACCAACATATTGTAATTTCAAACTATCGTTGACCAAGACAATATTAAGACCAACATTACAGTTAACAATTGTTATATTGTTAGAATATCTTAACTATTTTACTTGATGTTATGTAATATTAAAAAAATAAAAAACGAGATTTAAAATATTACATCATTGCTGATTCTATGCATGTTTATATTATAATAATTAAAATTAAGCTGCTATGTTTTTTTCTTTTATAAACACATTTACTATAATATTCAAACTCAGTAAATTTTGGAACTTAGTGCATTTCAGCTTTAGAAAAATTATAGTTTATTCATAATTATCCTCAATGATTGGTAGTGACATTATCTGTTCTATGAACTCTCGCATGGCAGAATATCGTTCCCAACTATTTTGATTCATTCCACTAACAAATCACAACGTACGGATGTCGGATGCTAAAAGTTAACAAAAATATTTCAACGTCGATAGTTGCTAAGATTAAGATCTGACGTATATAAATTAATAGTTTTATTAGCTGGCAGATAGGTAAGAACATTAAGGTTGTTGGTAAGGTTTAAAAAACACTGTATAATGTTCGTTGTATATGTTTAATTCTCTTAACGTGTGATTGAATTCAAGAGTTTGTTGCAGGAGAGAAAGAGAAAGAGGAAAAAGTGAGATTATTTGAATTAAAAAAGGGTTATATTTTAAAAAATAAGGCATAATATTTAGTCTTATCTCTCTTTGCATACTAGAGACTAAAGAAAAAATAAAATAAAATTTATATATATTTTTTAATTTCTCAAAAATCGTATTTTTGTAAGCAAATCAACCTTCCTTATACGTATTCACAATATGCTTATAATTATTATTTTCCATAAAATTATTAAGAAAATTACTCCTTCAGATTATTTTCATAAAAATGGATTAGTATATATTTTTTTATTTCTAATCATGCGAAATAAAATATTTTCAATGTATTAATTGTTAATTTTATCTATACTCTTTATTATATTAATTAACAAGACACTCACTTATTTTCTTTACAAGTAGATTTATTCATTAATTTAAAAACAGAAAATTCAAAGGAAACAACACTTTTTTCATTACCATTAAACTTGTAAACACATGGTGTGTTTTGCACTGGTTTGCTTAAATTACACCTTTTCATATTTCTATAAAGTATTTCCCAAACTATAAATTTATAAATCAAACCATTACTTTAAAAATACTTAGTATTATATTAAATATTTATTGTATGCTTTAGTTTAAAATATAACGTTCATGTGTTTTCATTATAGGAGAAATGCTAATAACATATATTTTAACACATGCTTTTAACATATTCTTCAATTTTTATTAAAATCTATTTAAGAAACATACTTCTTTCAATTAAAAAAATAAATAAATAATAAAAAAAATTAGATTGTTTGAACCTATTGAACCACCTATGCATGTGTGCGATTGAGTTAACTTGACTTAGAAATCATGATAAGAAATTATCATGAACCAATGAAACAATAATACTCAACAACCCTTTAATTTGTGCATAATCAAACTCTTTCACCCAACCCACCTTAGACCCACAAACTCTCTAAACATTATTCTCTTGCATTCAATCTTTTTTATAAGTGTAATTTGCTTTTACAAATAAATGAAAAAAATATATACAAAATTGGAGTCTCTATCTTGCAAAATATGAGACTGAGAATTAGGCAAATCCAACAACCCCTCTTAAACTGACTCTTTTTCTTTGTCTTTCCTTAATCGTAATAATATCTAATTTTCTTTTCTTGAATCTTGATTTTGGGGTGATCAGCTAACAAATGTGGCACATTATATCTCAATAATTTTGTGGTTCAAAATCTTCCAATTTTCTTGCATGGACCCAGCATCAAGCCCGTTAATTTGTTGCCTTTTCTTGGTCTAAGGGGTTGACAAAATTGCAAGAAAACAATTTAGATTTTGTCTGAAAACACGATGCAGTGCTACGTTTATTCCTTATTTATTTAGGTATGTTGTTTTCATGAGAAAGATAAATTTAAACATGTCTTGGTAATCATTGTAGTTGTTTTGTAATTCATATGAAAATTAGACAGAAATATACAGTCACATAATGACATTCATGCTAGTTTCATCATGTGCCCACCAAACTTTTTCATATATTTATGATTTATAGTGTAACTTTGACACCTGTACTTGATACGAGATAATATAGTATCAGCATAGTCAAATCAAATTCAGGGGCCATTTTGTTAGCCATTATTCTTTGTTTTCTTGCCACATGTTTTACTTCATAAAGTTTTCTAACTCTTCCAAGTTTCTGTTCAAGAACGTAGTTAAAAAGAAAATTACATGATTAGAACAAACAATTAGTATAAAATTCAGCGATTAACAGAAACATTAACGACACCAAACCTAGAAACTTAAATGATGAAAATACGTATTCATATGACATTATTAGCAAAATTACAAAAGAGAAACGTGGAATAATTGTATTTGGAGCACTAACAGGAAAAATTGTAATCATGTCTGGACCGATGGGAAAATGTCCCAACCTCATTTTTCACCATCTTGTCTGTCATCTTAGCGATCAAATGCTAAACCCACCAAAATGTGACAGCTTCAACAGAGAGAGAGAGAGATTTCTTGTTTCTTTTGCTTCTTTTTAAGCCAAAGGTTTAATTAAAGCAAACCTCCAGAGAAAACCAAAGCATCCAAAAAGCAACACCCAGTTTTGACTTCACTTTTTAATCCTTCTACTCGTTGCAAGAAATTGTTGCTAATAAAGACCACTTTTGTCACACTAATATAATAATGGCCCACATTCAAAAATTAAGTTTGAAATCATTTGCTGTCGTGGTGATTTTTGCTAATAGTAATCACTATCTATCTCACTCTAACTACTTATTATTTTCCTCATAACCTCTTCGCCTTACAGCTTTCAAAGAGCTTCACAAGTAAAACAGATGGTGTTTCTGATAATCTTTATGGAAAATTACATGTTAAGGGTATACAAACATTTCACCACCGTACAGAAATGAGACTTTGTATAAAAAGAATGTTTTTCCTTACACTCAAGAATGATTCTTATTTAAAGGGTAATGCATGATTGAATGTTTATGGCATAATTTACAAGTATTTTACCAACAAAAATGTAAAATCAGAAGTATGAAAAAAAAAAAATGAAGAAGCATATCAAATGAGGACTCATTGAAAAATATGCGTAGAGTTGCTTCATGTACCTTGAGTTCTATTCATCCATGGCAAAGATGCAGTGACATAAGAACCACCCAAATGGTTTTGTGATGAAGTTGACACTTTATCCTTCTTAGACCATTGCCAGATCTTGGAAACAGAAAAGCTTTCCCCTTTCCTTGCAATGCTAATTTTTTTGCCCTCAACATCCCCATCAGTGGAAGAATTCCCATACTGGGCCAATTTACCTTTGAATTGTCTCATACTGCCTCCACTGGCACCTCCTACATCACCTCTATTGGAGCACAAAGCCACTTGCAAATCTGAATCAGCAACCACATACTGGAAGGACCCCATTGAATAGCATCTCCTAACATCCAAATTACTTGTACTGCTCTCCCCTCCTCCTCCTCCTCCTCTTTCCACCCCCTCTCCATTATTTGAGCTTCTAAACTTCCCAAGCCTCACAGAAAACACCCTTTTCCCACTCATTATGTGATTTTCTGCATGTTTATTAAAGGAACCAGCCTCTCCAGCAACACTGCCCGAAACCCCATCTTCCTCCCTCAGACCGTCAAAGTCATAAACTGGGTTTTCAAAGGCAAAGCCTGACTCATAAAGACTCCCTCTGCAGAGAGGACAAGTTGAATTTGAGAGCAGCCATGTGTCTATGCAATCAATGTGAAAAGCATGGTTGCAAAGGGGCAGCAGCCTCAGCATGTCTTGTTCTGAGAACTGGCAAAGGCAAACTGCACAATCAAAAGGCTCCTTCAAACCTATTATGTCTTTGTAGAGGAAAACCGGGAGAGCATCTATGAAGGCCTGATCTAGGCCTGAATCATGGAGATGAAAGAGCTGTTGTAACTGCCTCTGGTAAGGATCAGATTCAGACATGTCCGGGTACCTATTGGACTGGGAAATTGATGAAGAGGACCTGTGCCTTATGAGAAATCTAACAAGCAAGTGAAGGAGACCAGAGATGAAAAACACAATAGCTAGAATGACAAAGATGAAAACAATTGCAGGGCTTATTCTATTGCCAGACGAAGAAGCTAGAGGAGGGGCCAGTTGTTTCTTATACTCCGAATTGTAAGGCAATGGTGCAGAAGAAGAACAAGAAGATGTGGAAATACTAGTGGGGTTGTTGATAGCATCACTGCTATGGCAGATTTGAGAATGAACCCAATTCATTTCCGAGAGCATTTTTGGTGTGTCTCGGTGTGTGAGCTTAAGCACAGAAGAGATAGTGACAACTACCTATTTGTTAGAACAAAGTTATTGTCTTTGCCTCTTTTGAAACTCAACCCAACTCATACATTGAGGAAAACTATCAACATCCACATCAACCTTGCATTCCAAAAAAAAAAAAAAAAAAAAAATCTGGAACCTAAGGGAAATGAAAGAGGAGGAAAAGGATAAAACAAAAACAAGATTACTGAAATTTATAATTTGGAGACCTGAACTGTGACAGTTAAAAAAAGGAAAAACATGCTAAAGAAATTTATAAGGTTGCTGTGCTGTTGACCCACCTCAAGTGTTGGAAGCCATTCTTAGCTGTTATTTCCTCTCTCTTTCACCTGAACGGGGAGAACGGTGTTGGTTCCAAAAACCCGAAGCCTTTTGCTTTGAACCCATTGGGTGAAAGATTGATAGATCTTGGCTGCATAGAATAATAGATCTCTATGAAGTTCTGTGAGGCCCAAGAGAATAACCAATCTAATAATGGACTAACACTTTCACACGGCCCATAAAAGACGAAGAAAAAAAAAAAAAAACCTTTGATGCTTTTTATTGTCTTAGAGTATCGTTATCACTTACTTGGACAAATTCTTCAAACGCTAGTCATCTCATCCTGTCTCTTTTTTAAATTTAAAAATATTTTTAAATTACGAAACTTCCCTTCTTGCATCCTTCTACTTTCTTCTGCTTCTCTGAGAAAAGGGTTTAAATATATATATATATATATAAACCCTCTTTTTAAGAAAAAGAGACTCATAATGTTACATAGATATATCCTAATAATATTTTTCTTCAAAAAATATTTTCTTAAGCACAAAGAAAAAGGAAAAAAAATGGTCATTAAAGATATATTGTTACATCTAATGGATTTGTGTGGGTAGGAATATCAAACGTAAGTCTCCTTTGGTAACTATTTATTACACACAATAGACTTATATATATATATATATATATATATATATATATATATATATATATATATATATATATATATATATATATATATATAACTTAAACGTATTTTTTGTTTTTATCAAGGTGAACCTAAATTTGAACATTGTGCATTTTACACACTAGTACAAAATAGGCTTTTAACATCGGTTCCGGGGACTTTTAACATCGGTTCTAGAGCCGATGTAGATACTGACCGATGTAGAAAGTGTGACTTTCCACTTTCTACATCGGTTCCTAAGAAACCGATGTAGAAAGTCTAATATTTTTATATATTTTATTTATTCATAACCCCTCTCCAATTACCCTATCTATTGATCTAGAGGTCTCCTCTCCCTTTTATATTATATTTTTATTATTTATTGTATTATTTATATTTTTTAGAAATTTGATTTATTATCAGATTAAGAGAATTGTCAGCTGAGAAGATTCGAACCCAGTACCTTAGAGTCGGAGGTCGATACTCCAACCACTAAGCTACTAGGATTTTCTAATAATAACTTATACATAAATTATATTTATATACAAATAAAAATGTATATCCATGTAAATATATAAATATAAAATATATAAATACAAATACAAATATATTTATATATTTATATGTTGGATGTGAGGACGCACTTGAGGATTAAATTGTGTGTCGAGTGAATTTTCAAAATTTGATGTCAAATTTGTGAGCGAATATCTTTATATGAATTATAACTTAATGATAAAATATAATCTTTATAATTTATTTATATAATGATATAAAATAATTTTTTTCTTTATTTTATATCATTATATAAATTAATTATCACTACAAGAAAAACACTAAATAGTAACAGAAAATTCGGTCACTAAATGTGCAAAATCGGTTACTAATTAAAATAGTGACCGAAATAGTGACCAACTCGAATCGGTCACTATTTCCTTGGTCATCGATTTTAGTGACCGATTCGATGATCGAATCAGTGACCGAATCGATGATCGATTCGATGGCCGAATCAGTGACCAAGCTGGAATCGGTCATTATTTCCTTAGTCACTGATATTAGTGACCGATTCGATGACCGATATATGAGGGGATAATATTGATATATTAATATATGAGGGGATAATATTGATATATTGATATATTTGTATATATATATATTTATATATATTTATATATTGATATATTTATATATTAATATATTTATATATTTATATATTTATATATTTATATTTTTATATGTGCGGGGGCGTTTCGCTCGAGCGATAGGATTGTCGCTCAAGTGAAACAAACCCGAGAATGCCAATTTTGTGCAGGGGCGTTTCGCTCGAGCGAGAAGACTGTCGCTCAAGCGAAAGACATTTTAGATAAGCGGTTACACGAGAACCGCTTTGAAAGTGATCCTAGCAAAGATCTCATTGATTTGATGAAGTCAAAGATAAAGTCAAAGGTCAACTCTGCAGCGATCAAACAAGTCACTCGGAAGAATGGAGCTGAAGACTTAGTGTGTCTTAACGAAAGCTTAGGTAAAACCACTTTACCTTTTCCATCGCATAAAGCTTCTTCACTCAATTTGCAAAATGCCTCAAAAATAGTTTTAAACAAATCAAACAAAAGCATTTTGACAAATAACTTTCTTAATAATGTTTTTAAGCGATATAGTTTTAAAAGAAACGATTAAAATCACTTAGAATGTTTAAAGAAGTGTTTTTACAGTATTTTAATCGATACAAACTTCTTTTAATCGATTAAAACCCTTTAGAAATCATTATGACCGATTAGATTTGATATATAAGCGATCAGAACTTATTTCAATCGATTAAAACACGTTTTAATCGATTAAAATCATTTAAAGGATCAGAATGATCGATCAGAATGCGATTATGACCGATCAAGTGGTTATGATCGATCAGAATTGAATTATGACCGATCAGATCTATTTCAATCGATTAAAGCGTATTTCAATCGATTAAAATAACTTAGAAAATCTTTGTACAGAGTTTCAATCGATTAAAACGAGTTTCAACCGATTAAAATGACTTGAAAATTCATGTGCAGTTTTTCAATCGATTAAAACTCCCTTTGTATCAGTTAAAATAACTTGGAAAGTTTTATAAGAAAGTTTTTAAACAAATCAATCGATTAAACCGCAAATCAATCGATTGAATCGCTCTTAGAAAATGTTTGAAAAATGTTTTAAGCTGATAAAAACGTGGTCGTATCAGCTAAAACAATTTTGTTAAAGAACAAGAACGCATTAATGGGTTGAAAGGACTTTTAACAGATTATAACGGCTATTTCAACAGATTAAAACAAACTTTCAACAGATTAAATAATGCAGCTTTTTTCGAAAAACTCTTTTAAAAACAGAAATTGCTTGGAATTTTTATCATATCAGTTTTACAAATTGCTTGGAAATTGTATATAAATATAATTTATGTATAAGTTATTATCGAGAAAATCCTAGTAGCTTAGTGGTTGGAGTATCGGCCTCCGACTCTAAGGTGCTGGTTTCGAATCTTGTCGGTGACAATTCTCTTAATTTTATAAAATGACTTTCTACATCGGTTCATCTGGGAACCGATGTAGAAAGTCTTGAATCCACTTTCTACATCGGTTCTTAAAGAACCGATGTGGAAAGACCGATGTTAAAAGTGATTTCAGTACTAGTGACACTAAATAAACTTACATAAATAAAATTCCAATATAAAGATGGTTTAGAGATTTCATATATGTAAAAACAAATATAATACATAAGTGAAGTAAAAACTTTATTTTATAAATAGATTTGTGTTAAACTCATGTTTTTACTTTATAATAATAAGAGTATTGATTAAATAAAACTATTGATGTTAATTCATGAGTGAAACAAAATTGTAAAAACATAAAAAAAAATTAATATCATTAATAATTGATGGCAAAGTAAGATGAATGAAGTATATATTTGGATAAAAGAATCTAACCACGTATAAAATTCTTAAGCACTAAATGAAACATTCATTCCTCTAAAATCAATATTTTTGAAAAGGTAAAAGTGCATATGGAGCTTCCAGCCACATACTTGAAGCTTATAGTTTATGCTTTATTGTCTTCTAGCTATCACATTTTGTACAACACTTTCAAGTGATGGATATAATACATTTAAGATGTTCTGTATTATTGTGTAATTATTTGTTTAGCTTCCGCTTGATCTTATTTTTAATGTTTTAAAATTTTCATTTTCCAAAACTTAATATACACCTTTTTGGGTGTTACATTCTCAATTGTCTATTTATTTTTGTTTTTTTTTCTTCCATCTAATATTATGAAATTGAAAATATTAAAAAATAATGACAAAAAAAGAATGCTATTTAGCTAAGTAGTTAAGTTGAAGGTGGTATACAAACGGAAAAATAAACTTGCTAAAAATATTATATATTTTAAACTTAGAAACAATCTATCATTAAGTATCAAGTTTCTCTACCTCTGCATGATATATTCCATTGTACATTGTTTGGAATCCCTCTTCAATTTAATTACTTATCCTATGATCTCATAATTACTATATTTAATTTTGTATTATTTTTTTTGCCGTATGAATATTATAGAAAAAAATATAAAAGTGATGCTTTGTGAGTTCACCTTAAGTTTGCTATTTCATTTATAACATTCTACAAAGTGTTGTACGTGAAGCATTTGCTATTTTATGAGTGGGTATGAGAGGTTGTGGTTAGGAATATTTAGTATGAAACTTGTATATTACGGGCATTTACATGCATCAAATTTCTGATATAATCAATTATCTGTGTACTACGTGGTACAACACATAAATCAGAGCAATGAACTGTTGTATCCGAAAGGAAAGTAACAAGTAAAAACTAAAAAGTTTCGTATTGTAAAGTACTTTAAAAAGTTTCCTGTTGGGTAACATGAAAATATATGTGTACAACTACCAGCTGAGACAACGTAAAGTGGTAGGAAAAGGGGTACGCAAACCCTACTATCACATTTTTCTTCTTAGGGGTTTGGTGGGTAACCACTATCTTTAGACCCTAACCAACAATTCGGGTCATATTGTTTAGTTTGTTGACCGGTAATTAACCAAATTAAGATCAATCAATGATTGGTGACCTACATTACTGTATACATCAATACTGTTTTCTGCTTCATATATAGCTTCATAAATCAAGAGTGAAAGGGTGAAACAAAAAATAACATAGAATTCAAAAGTTACGAAATGGTTTAGAAAGCTCAGTTAACAGTAGCAAAGTTCTACTGCGGTAATTAAAGAGCACCATGTTAGTGGGTGTATGTCAAAACTGAAAAGGAAATGCAGCATTACATGCATGTCCAATTGAATCCTGTGAAATTAAATTTATTATACAACAGTATATATAATATATCCTCATTTATATTTACTTTCTGATGCATCAACATTCAATGACATGAAAAATTAAGAAGGTCAAAGTTCAGAATTAAGAAAGACAACTAAGGGGTGTTGTGTCAGTCTGCATAATCAATGAACTGAATAGTCAAGTTAACAGAGAGTAGGAATCTCGATTCAAAGATAATTCTAGTATTTTTATTTTTTTACACTTTTTTTTTCATTAATGCTTCATACTACGTTTTATCAACTTTACTTTTTTTCGGTATTTCTTAACACACCAAATGGCAAAAGACTTAGAAACTAAACAAAACTAAAAATTTAAGCCCCAAAATTAATTAAATTTGTAATAATGTGACCCTTGTTGTGGAAAAAATATGGGAGTGAAGGGAAAGGAAAGTAAGAGAGGGCATTGAGCCCAATTCACCTGAAGTGAAGGTAAAAACCGAAGGAAAAAATTACTGAAGTAAAAGAAGAAAACAAAAGAAAAGAGAATTAATGGAGTGGATGATGAAGACTCCATTGGTGATGGTACCTTTAATGGAAAGTGGAAGTTGGTAATCATTTGTCATTTGTGACAGTGAGTTCACAAAGGTGATGATGGTGTTGATTTGAGGTTGTGTGTCTTTGTGTTTTAACTTACAGTATACAAAAGCATCACATCACGAAAGGACAAACATTAATTGATAAAAATAAATAAAATAGATAAATACATATAACAACAATAATAATCATACAACTTGATATAGTAGCACTGCCTCACTAGCTAGTAAATAATGAATCATCATCGTCATCCTCATCAAACATTGAAAACCTTGGAAAGAGCTTGCAACACATTGAGTTGCAACCTCAATTGCAAGATGTGCTCGGCCGTCTTGAGGAAAAGGCGGTCGGGGTTCATTCCGGCGCCGCCAGGAACCAGCCGCTGCAGCTTCTTCATCCTCCTCTCCACACCCTCTTCCCTTCTCCTCCTCCTCCTCCTCTTCCCCCACTTCACCTTTCTCATGTCCTTGCAACCCATTAATTTAGAACACTTTTGTGACCCAAAATAAAATCCCAGAGGAAGAAAATACTGATAAATATGATAGCTTTGTATAAATGAGAGAGGAGGAAGAAAGGAAAGAAGAAAATAATGATGGAGTGGAAGAGAATGGGATGGAATGAGCAATGGGGGAGGGCTATAAATGAATGGAGAAAAAGGCAAGTTGAAGAAACGGGCCATGAGAGCCAAGCCGAGCCGATGTTCAAGCTGCTACCGCGTAACAAATTATTATTTTTTGAGTGATTTGTCAATAAAATAACATCTGAAATCAATGTGTATTCAGGGAGAATTATAACAGTTGCAATATTGATTTTTAGTTATTAAATTAAAGTTTAATCAAAACTATAGATTATAGAATGCAAATATAATATAATTTAATAAAATTTTGTAGTAGTTAAGTATAATATATATAAACAGTTTTATTTTATTTTAGAAAAAATATATTAAAATAAATATGCGTATGTATATGGTTTTTTTTAGGATTGTCGATCCTATCTAATTAGGTTAAAGGAAATATCTATATTATTAATCAAATCATAATTTTATGTTTAGAGTAATACTATGTTAGACTAAACAAGTTAAATTAGCTTGATTAAATTAAAAAAAGATATCCTGTTTATTGTAAAAAAAATAAAAAATAATCCAACATGTTTAAAAAATAATTTAAATAAAAAATCATTTTTATTTTAAATATAATAATTTGATATATAAATTATAAATTAATTTAAAAGCAAAAGTTAAAGATTTATTATTCATTTACATTATTTAATTTTTAATGATTTAATATTTTAAATAATATTTTTTCTAATTTTATTTTTAAATTAATTTATAATATATATATATATATATATAATATTATTTTTATTTTAAAATGATTATTATTTTATAAACAATTAGATTAAATTAAAATTTGACCTTTAAAAAAAATGGGATCGACTATTGGTAAGACACACACAGCACTTTTTATTATTAGGAGACTCGGTTCTAGTTTGGCGTGTTATGGGCCGGTGGGCCAGGCCCACGTTTGGCGTGGAGCGGCCCACGCACGTGTCTGTCAGTGGCTGGCGCCAGCCAGATTTATGAACGGCTTGCGTTGCGTACACGTGTCCTAGTAATCCTCGAATCCCGACAGATGTTCGCTCCTGTCACGGGATCCGATCGGTTGCGTCATGCCCCATCGTAAATCCGAGTGTGATTCAGCACATCGTCCGGCTAGCGACGGTCCTCCGATGGACCCCACGCGCGAAATTCGGTTTCCCACGTGTGGCCTCACATGGCCTTGTTCCTTTCTCGTGTGCTGGTGAGGTCCAACCAAATTCCACAACACTTCTCTTCACCATCATTCCTGTTTTCAATTTTTCTACTTTCTTCTTTTCTTCTCAAGGTAAAAAAATAAAAAAATTAAATTAATAAATTAATATTAATTGAGACAAATAGTTAAAGTATGTTTAGTCTCTTTAAATAAGGTTTATGTTATATTTTATTGTAATAAATTAATTCACTTAATTTATATTAGTCTAAAAAATGAAATAAATACTTTTATTAAATTTTAATATTTTATTAGCTAGAAACATCTAAACAACAATTGAATAATTAAATTTAAAAATCCATCCATGGATGATGTAATCCAAATCTCGAGGTCATGGTCCACTAACTCAAACTGGGAAAGGCTATATGGTTGCGTATTATTGTATACAATTAAATTAAAAATAGATGTTCTAATTTTAATTATTTAATTCAATGAGTGATACCTTTTTTACACAAATTCTATTTGTTTCCTTAATTAATGATGGTGTATATAGAAAGGCCTTTTATATTTAAGACGTGTAACCAACACATTCATGTTATTAGAGAAAACTTGTGGTTTAGCTTAAGAAAATCATAATTAATTTAATTGAATAGCATCATGTGTTGGCTACCTAAGTTTTCTAAAATAAATATTAAAAATGTTATTGATTAAAATATGTAGCAAATTATATCGAATGTGACATAGGTACAATATTAAGAAACGAGCCAACGAATGAAATGCTCGTATATTAAATATGAAAGAGATAGGCATTGTTATTATGGTTTTTTCTTTTTTTCTTTTTTAATATACACGATACATTTCTTTAATGTTATGGCACCCCGTTATTATTTAAACTTTTTTTCTAAATCCAGAAAGACCACATCGGATTTAGTTGCCTCTACTTCTACGTCTCTCGAATTGATTAATTACATGGGACCAAACTAGCCTGGCTTCATAATTATGAACCATTTTTAGCTACATTTTTTGTGATAATGTAATTAATATTTAATAAGATTAATTAGGCCTTGCAGATGCCATTTATTATTCCCTTTTCCTTTTCGGATAACCAACAAATTAGGTTTACAAAAACTCTAGCACGACATGTTATTAGGACAGAACTCAGAAAATAATATAAATAAAGTTTATTTTTAAAACTTCCGTTGCCATATTTGTTGAAAATAATTCGCAAGAATTAAAAAAAAGTTATATATCCATCAAATGGACCAAAAACACTTAGGACGTCACCTACGAGACATGTAATAATAAAATCACCATGTTTAGGTTGTTGAGACTTTTATCACGTTTTCGGTAATTATATGAATATATAATAGCCTTCAAGGAAGGGAATGTTTTCAAATATTGACTCTTTGAATGCTATAAAATTAACTTATACTTGTACTGCATTGTATTTTTCATTTCACTTGTTTCAAGTAATTTACACCTCTGAGTCATATTAATTCCTAATTGCCTTATTTTTGTTGGATCAGTTCCTGTGAGTTAGGAATCACGAGTCTTCAAATTCATATCTATGATTGAGTTAGTAATTTGAGTCAAAGCTAGTGAACGAGTTAGTAAAAATAAAATTACTAATATGAAAGAATTTATATACATTAGTTTATTATATATTATATTAGTCCATCATATATTTTAATTTTAAAAAAATAAGATAAAATAATTAAAAAATCATTTATAAATGTCTAATTTTCGATAAAAAATATCAAAATATAATAAAATTACTGGATATAAATGAATGTACTGTTATTTTATAAATCAGTTTATTTAGTAAGGTGTTATAACTAATTATTAATCGTGGGTTTACGAGTGTATTTTTAAAATTTTACACGACTATTATTTGATGCAAATATTACTCGATTAGGTGGTGGATGAAACTGATTTAGTGCAAACAAAGTTTTTAGTCCTAAAGAAAAATTATAATTTGTTATTGGTGATAAGTTATAATACCGATGAAGTATTAACTTGGAAGTTTTGCATTGATTGTCCACTAAACGAAGACCATATCTACAACCAAGTACGTACACTACACCAGTTGCATGTGCGTAGGGGGTGTGATGCCTAGAAATATGAAGTATATATTATATTACAGATTATGTAGACAGATATGTGATGGATATTAAAGTATGTGGGTCCGGAAAGGGTTTATCTAATGATGAAATAATTTACGATTTGTTTTAGAGAAGTGTTTTGAATTACATGAGAAAAAAAAAGAGAATCAAGTGATGAGAGAATGTAACAGTGGAACATATTTGTGAGTTAAGTGATGGGTGTAGCTGAGGTAGGTAGATGGAGGTGGCTAGCTAAAGCGGTCCCCTTGTTGGAAGACTAAGAAACTTTCCAGGGTCATTGAAACCCATGCCATGTGACGCTTGACGATGACATTTGTCCTCGGATGAAGATAAAAAATTATTACACACAACACATCCAAAACCAAACACCTACATACGTACGTACCCTAGTACACACAAACACGACAATACCATCGTATAAAAAATTGTCACATTTCACTGTGTGGTTGAGTTAATGCAGAATGCTGAGCAACTGAGGTGAACAACAGTAACAGTAGATGGGTTGCCAAGAAGTTGGAGACTTCACGTGGCTTGTCGAGGGCACTTAACTTACCTACGTAAGAAGAAGAAGTAAATTGAAATGGAGGATCGTAGACTGAGACCCATCTACTTACGCAACGCTAGGATGTGCAAATCATTAATAACGTGACAGGCCTTGCTTTTGTCTCTCTGTAATTACCCTACTTACCCATAAATTACCTGCACCCGCATAAATAGTGCTGTTCGAAGTGCGTGTAACGGGCCATTAATTCTTTCTTCCCATTCTTTCCAACCTTATCATGCCATCTCACCCACTCCCACACCATCATGCGTCGCAGATTACTACTACTCCTATTTAAACTTTATTTTAATTATTGAATTCTTATCAGCGTCTTGTAATAAATGGTTGGCTTAGCTCATCTTTTTAAGGACCAAAAATAATCAGTAGCAAGATTCAAAATTTTATATTCTTTCATTTTCTTACCAATATTATTTTCATGTCAATTAAACTGTGACGTACAAAATAGAAGATGGTGGAGGGTATGTGCATGTAAAAATAAGGAAATATATAGTTAGAGGCTATTATTTTTAAATGTGTTTAAATTGTTAACATGTTGGAGACAAAACAGGCCTTTTAGGTGGTTATATAATGTTCGTATTATGTTTCGGTTGTCTCGGTATGCCTATCATAGTATTTACAAACTTAAGTGATGCATGTTGGGTATCTGATGTCAGTTATCGCAATATTTAGGGCATTTGGAGATCAGAATAAGTTATCTTTCATGTGATCAATTTTTAGGGATGTTTTGTGAGTTGATGAGGACCTAAGGCTTGTACTCAAAGACATCAAGTCCGTTGATTTAGTCTTTAACTCCTGGAGATTTGTGTCATTATGCTCATACTTTGTTTTTAGGAAGTTGATGTAGATGAATGGGTTAAAGGGAAAAACTTGATCATTTGGTGCCTATTGTTTTGAGGATTAATTAACGTAGTTAAATTAAACAAGGCTTGTATCTGATAAAGTTTTGCCCATTGTCTTGATCGAACATGGAGCTTGATTACTTCGTCGAGATGGGTCATGTTGGAAAATGCAAACATAAAACAATCATGAAAGAAATTTTTCCTTAAAAGATCTACCACCATAATCATGTAAATAAAATAAATACATCTTGTAGTGTGAGATTTCCTTTTTACAAATCTCATAGTATAATCTCTATAAACTTGACACAAAGAGTCTCGTTGAAGAGCTAAAGGAACTTATTTGTAGTGATGAAACTGCTTTATCTCTAAGGATTTGGAGAGATGAGATGATGGAATGATGCACTTACAACTCTATGTTTCTCTTCTAAAATACTCTTCTCATATGTTCATGAAAATATCCTTACACAAGATAATAAGAAACAATATATTATACCGTGGTAAAGGTTAAAAAGCAAATCACAATGGCTTCATTTAATAAAGGTTTTGTTTATTTATTGAAACAACATAATTTATTTATATCATTTAAATAAATATTAAAGTTGAAATTAAATTGCCCATGTTAAAATATTTTATTTTCAAAGTAATCTTTTAATAAAATATTAAGTAAATATAATACATATAAAAGATAATAATGTAATTAATAATTACTTTATTTGTTATATTAATAAAAACTTTATTATTACAAATAGTTTCAATAAATTATTAACATATTTTTTATATAAAATGTGGAGAAATGCATAATATTGTATTTTACTAAATTTGATAAATTTTATGCAAAATAATAAATAAAAATTGTAATATCAAATAGATAAAAAATTTTAAATCTTTGTTTAAGATCTTCCATGAAATTTATTTTTAAAGTAAAAAAATTAAATATGAACTTAAAAAATTAATTCTATTTTTAAAAATTTATATTAATTTTTTAAAAAATAATATAAGAATCCTCTAAAATAAACTTGAGCATATTTGATTTAAAAAATATAAATTAAATTATAATAAAAATAATATAACACTATAAGAAATATTAAAATTATCAACGGTCAAAAATCCGTCTCGTAAATGTTTTATGAAAAATTATATTATTTATAGCTTTGAATTATTATTTGATTAAGAGAATTGTCAATCGTAGATTTAAAACCAAGTACCATAGAATTAGAGGTCGATACTCTAACCACTAAGTTACTAAATTTTTTTGATAATAATTTACAAATAAATTATATTTATATACAAATATATTTATATATTTATATGTTTATATATTTATATGTTTATATATTTATATATTTATATATTTGTATATTTATATCTTTGTATATTTGTATATTTATATATTATTTTTATATTTATATATTTATATATTTGTATATTTATATATTTATATATTTATATATTTATATATTTATATATTTATATATTTATATATTTATATATTTATATATTTATATATTTATATATTTTTATATTTATATATTTATATATTTATATATTTATATATATTATATATTTTTATATTTTTTATTTATATATTTATATTTATAAATTTTTATATTTTTATATTTATATATTTATATATTTTTATATATAATTAAATATTTATTTTTTAAAATTATTTAATTTAATAAATTATTATAAATTAATCTAATTATGATTAAATTAAATTATTAAATAAAAAATATTTTATTTTTTAATTAGGTGAATAATTAAATTATATTAAGTAATTATTATATATTTTTACCGATGGATATATTCGTCGGTAACTAATTGTTAATTTACTGACGTAAAATATGCGTCAATAAATAATTGTTAATTTACAGATGAATTTACCGATCGAATATATATGTCGGTAATTAATTATTAATTTATCGACTGGATATATCCATCGGTAATTAATTATTATTTTACCGACAGATATATCTGTCGGTAACATCAAATTCCACAAATATATTATATTTGTCGGTAATTTTCGTTGCTAATGATTATTTTTCGACGGCTATAAATCCGTCGGTAAAAATCCGTCTGAAATACGCAATTTTCTTGTAGTATAAGAAATATTTATGCCAAAATATTAAATGATTTTTAGTTAAGTTGTATTATTTAAACAAAAAACAATACAGACAAGATTCAATTACATTATTTACTCAAATAATTTATTTTATTTAATTATTTTAATATTATTTAAAATTTAAAAATAAGTATCTTGTATTCAATCATATCTTTTTTGAATTTACTGTATAAAAACATTAAAAAATTATAATTTATTTTTTTAAAATAATTTCTATAGTTTATTATTATTTATAAATTATTATAAAAATAAATCATAATAAATATACCTATAAAATATGGTAAGTTTACTTTTAGTTTATATATAATAATTAAAATTTATTTTAATTAATTTTACTAAATAATTATTTTGTATTACATCATATATCAATTTATATTTATATTTATTCTTAATAAAGTTAAATCTACCTTTAGAAACTAAAAAACAAAAAAAATTAAAAATTAAAAGAAGACAGTTCAAATTTAGGAAAAAAAAAACATAAATGAGCAAAGATAAGTGAAAATAGATAAAAAATAAAATAAGCTTACTCATTTTAGTAAATTTATTCATTATTTTAATACATTTTTTAATTATTTAATTTTATTGTAATTTTGTTCATAAAATATATTTTTCTTATTATATACAAGGATTAATCAATTATGTTGTAAATGTAATCTATTTTCACGTATTTCGTCATTTCGTCCTTGGTGAGAAAGGATGATTTTTTTTTTCATATTACTTGTAAATGTTAGTTATACAATCTTACATAAATTGATTACATATTAAGAAAGACGTGTAAGTCCTTAACATCTTAACCTTAAAAAGTTCGAAATCTTACATTAAAAGTTAATACAATGAAAAATGAGTTTTTTTTTTTTTTCACTTAATCTATATTAAAAAAATTATTAAATATTGACTAGTTTAGAAATTAAGAATATATATATATATATATATATATATATATATATATATATATATATATATATATATAAATTTTAAAACTATTTGAGTTAAATTATTTTCTAAATTATAAATTAGTCTTTAATTGAATTGCTAAAATTTTAGTTATTAATTGAAAATTAGACTTTATTTTAATTATTAAAATATTATTTATTAATTAAAAATTATATTATATTTCAATAATTTAAAGTCTAATTTTTAATAAGTAGTTAAATTTAGTAGTGAAAGTTATAAACAAATTTAAATTATGATTACTGTATTGAAAATTGGATCGGACCAATCAATTAAATAGGAAATCATACTAGAAATTAATTTGTTATTTTCATATTTTAATTAAATCAAGATAAAATTAAAAAAATCAGGATAAAATCGATAAAGCCAGCAAAAATTGGTAAGATTTTTGGGTCAAATAGATTTTATAAAAAATAAAATAAAGATTATATTTTTTAATATAATTTTTTATAAAAGATATAATATATATTGATTTTTTTTATAATAATTTTTATTATTTTATTTAAAAAAATTAGTTATAATAAATTTATTATATTATAAAATATTATTTTATTAAATTTGGTTAAACTACGATTAAATCTTTAAATTTGATCTAAAGTCTTTACCTATTGAGTGACCGACTGGTTTTAAAAACATTGATTATAATACAAAAGTTAATTTAGTTAAAATCAATTTTAAATTAATTAATATAATGATTAAATAATTTTTGTCTAAAGTTAATATTTAATAAATTTCTTAAAGTTATATATTTTTTTCTTCTTTAATACGTTCTGTATGTCTAATTTATCATGTTCTCGTCACATTATAATAATATTAAATCTTATTTAAAATAATAAATAGTGAGTGATATCTAACAACACATGTAATAAAATGTTTCTGGTACAACACACACTTTTTTACATGAGATCAATTATTTTTATAACTTGATCTTTTTTATCATATATCATAAATTTTGAACACAAAACAAGAAATGGGTTATCCTTGTATAATTCAACTTATCTATTATTTGATACTTGACTAAACACAAAAGTATATATAAGATTAATATTTGCATGTTTGTACATTGATGTTTTAGTATGTTATGACTTGATAATCACCTTAACTGTTTTTCTACACAATATCATCTTCAAGCTTTACATTCACTCTGAGGAAACAAGAAAGATGATTTCAAACCAGAAGGTAGCATGGTGAAATCACATATGGATAAATAGTGAAGTTGAGTTCTTCATTCTACTTTGAAAAGATGATTATTGTATTTAATCAAAAAAGAAGTTTTGTTTTATGTAGGTAAAAAAAAAGAAGAGAGATGGGTGGGGAGTGTGGGAGCGTGTTCAGCGGAAGGAAGGCGAGGCTCATGGTGTGTGGTCCATTTGGGGACGTTCCTTGGGTCACTTTTCTTTTAGAGGGCTTTCAAGTGTTGCCGGACTTCCAGGCCTTGTCTCCCTCCTCTCATTCACACCTCAATCATTTCTTCTTCGTATTCTGAAAGCGTTTAACATACCAAAATTCTTAGGATATAATCACCTATATAGGATTCATGTGGTTCCATCCATAGTTATAATAATAGATAGAGATACAAATCCATGTGGGTGGTAAGTGATTGATCATGACTTTTCATTGGATAGCAAATTATAAGTTATGATCATATTCACTGTTCATTCATGAATGTTGGTGACAAGAACTCATGAGTTTAAGAGCAAGTTGCAGTCATAAAAGGCCCGACAAGTATATTGTAAATTCCGATTTTGAATTAGTAAACCAAACTCTCCATTGTGCTCCAGGTTTTTCGATTCAATTATTGCACACACATGCCTCAAGTGAAGCCTTTTAGCCATGCATTCAATTTTTCACAGACAATGCACAAGTGACATTATTAGAAATGGGGTCTTCTTTTAACTCAATTTTCCCTTATACTACTATTGCATGATCCCACACATAATATCGATATTCCAGTTACAATACTCATTTCTTATGTCTCAACGGATTTAACTATATTAATATAGGATTGGATTGAATTTTTCAATTTGTCCAATCTAATATATTTATTTTTAGTAGATTAAACAAAAGTTGGGGATGATATGTCTCATCATACTTTAGCATTACTAAATTAACCACCTAGCTATTTGTTTATAGTTTGCTACAAATATTGCTCTAAAAATATATGAACATTAATTTGGCGCATAAATGTATAAAGTAAAGTAAAAAGTCACATTTCACGTTTAAAAAGTCTAAAGGAAAAGTCAATACCAAATTTTTTAGAATCTTTAATTATATCATAAAAAGTATATCTATTATTAAACTCAAAGGGGTAAAACTATAAAAAGT